TAATTGCTTTCATAGTAAATGTTTACAATATGTTCAATGTATGTTACCAACAAAGGTAATTGGAGACAACCTAGACTTGCATCGTAGACTACATAAAAATTCTGCATATTTTGATGAGATTAATGACAAATCTTTTTGCAAATGAAAAAACGTACCATCAATAAGGTCATTGCTTGAAAACCTTCATATTTTCAAAAGACATTGCCTTGAAAACAAACCATAACAATTTGTTGGATATCGTTAATTACAAGGACTGTTACCACAGGGACAAGAAGTAGCAATAAAACAACTCTTAAAAGGTTCAAGACAATAAGTTGTTGAGTTTAAAAATGAGCTAACGCTCATATCTGAAACTCCAACACGTAAATCTTGTTCAATTGCTGGGGTGCTGCATTGATGGAGATGAGAGAATGTTAATTTATGACTATATAAACATAGTTATAAACTTTAAAAATATATAAGCTTAATTAAAATTTCTCAAATAGTTAACAAAAGTATTAATTAATTAAATCATATATCTACTAAATAGTGTTAATTGAATTAATAAAACTAAATAACAAAAATAATAATATTAATAATAAATGGTTCAGGCTATCATGAATTAATAAAGTAAGTGGTACATGAATAAGTGACACTTTTTAAACCATTAGATATATTTTTAAAAAATATAAATGGTTCAGATCTTCAACTTATAACTTAATTGTAACACACTTATTTTTGTTATTTATTATATCTTCGACTTAAGTTCCTCACCATGCTTTTGGTAGAAGGAGCCAAGTTGGCACACGTTGTAATCATAGCTGCGACTAACCAGTAGCTATCTATACACAAAGAAAGATCTCAAGGGATCCCAAAGGTAGATAATGATGAGATAAGGAATGAAAAAATTTCTATATAAAGAATGAATTATAAGGTTAACGAGCATTGTATGTACATAAAACTTATTGTAAAATATAATTATTATTATGATTGATTGATGTGTTATTCATTCATGTATGATTTGGAGTTGATTATGATCATGTTTAGTAATGTGAAATTGGCTCATCTTTACTAAAATCTTTCAGGAAAGCAGAAAGACCACTCTCTAGAGACCAGTTAGGTTATTCAAGTAGTTGGTTAGCACTAGATTAAATCATATTTTTAGGGAATAATAGTGTATATGTTTTTATAAATTTGTTGTGGACTATAGTAATGAAGTGGGGGACATTTTCACCTTTGAAATGATGACTATACTCTTAGTATATATAGCTAAGATTGAGGGCTGGTTTGGAGATGATGACTATTATCATCCTTAACATTCTAGTATAGAGATAACTGCTTATTATGACTCAAGTTATTTTGTTTCTTTGTAAATAATGTATAGAGTTCTAATGTATTTTGAAATTATGGTTTGTAATTATCTAACTTTTGTACATCAATAAAAGTTAATAGATGTATGTTTTAGTTTAGTCTTAGCTTAGACTTATTCATAAGTTGTGATGAAATGACATTTGTATACTCATCTTCTATCATTTTTGCAACACTTATGTTTAATTTCAATAAATCATAATTTCGCAAATTCAGAATAAAATAAATTTCATTTCAAATAAGGTTCTCAATCCTTGGTTTCATCAAATATTTTAAAATAAAGAAAGGGGTTACAATTTCTATCAAGTCACTACTACAGGACCCATTTAAATACATTAGTTTTAAATTAAAATCTTAGTCCTATAGCAGTTTCATCTGCCCCTTTCACTAAGTTCAGTGCTGATCGTCTTGATTACTTGAAAAATAAATGTAAGGGTGAGTATTCTACACTACCAAAACATACAATTAAGCATAGAGTCTCACTTCCAGCACATTTTCAATACATTAAACAAATACAAGCACAGACAACATTATCACATCCATAAGCACAATTCATGAACCCATGCATACTCACGCCAGCCACACTCACATTGACACTGTGATCACAAATTTACACCATGAATAGTCGCCGGTTACTCCCGCCTCACGGATACCACGTGGACAGTCACGGGTCGCTCAGCAAAGGTAATGTTCAGAGGTCTAGTCAGGAAGAAAGTGTGTGGCCTGTGGTGCACCCGTTCCACAGTCGGTGTCACCACCACTCCTTCTTCCCCAAGGTATTTCTACCGTTCTCATCTCTCACACCTCCAGTATATCGCTGAACCATTCACAGCACATTACAACGGCGTTACACACCCCAATAACACACATCAGTATATAGCACATAGCCCACATTTAACAGTACACGGCATAGGCCCATATTTGTTTAACTTTACGGCACTAGGCCTACATTTCATTTTCACAGCACACACAGCACATAGCTCACAATTCATTCAAGACACATGGCCCCTAGCCTATTTTCATTCATATTACACGGCCCTCGGGCCCACATTTTCACAATGTTCATTCAAATATACACACATATATATAAACGGCACAAGTGCCCACATCACATATCTTAGCAATTTTCTACTCTCTACTCAACCACATCATAATATCACACAAAATATCAGCAAATCACACATAAAGGTGTAGGGTAGAGTCCCCTCTTACCTTAGATTGAAGACCCACGCCCGAACTCAACCACGAAAATGCTCCCCACACGACTTTCGGCCTAAACACATGGAAGAATTCCATTAGAACCCCGAAAAATACCAAGAACAGAGAAAGGGAAGGAAAAACGAAACCCTAACTGTTTAAAACTCACCTCCAAGCGTTCCCCACACAAATTCGAGCTCCAATCTCGCTCCCGAACGGCTTTAGAGGCAATTAATCAGTGAAATAGAGTTTGGAAGTGAGAGAATCGAAGGGATTTCAAAGGGAGAGGGAGAAATTACTTTCCCCGAACCCTAGCCCCATTTAAATCCTTTTCTGGTCGCGACATTCTCGCTACAGCGAGAGGACCTCACTGCAGCGACACGTCCTCTCGTTACAGCGAAAAAATCAGAGAAAACTGCACTCTGGTTTCTGCAGAATCTCGCTACAGCGAAACTGCACCCAGAAATGCATCCCAAACTGTTGCTTTGTCGCTACAGCGAGACGTCTTTCGCTATAGCGAGAAGGCGACAGTTCTGGTCCTTCCTCCCAAGGCCTTCTCGCTGCAGCGAGAACAGCCCAGTATCTTGCCCTGTACTTAGGCACTTAGCCCATTTCAGCCCAACTAGTCATACATATACATATCCATGTAATTAATACACATAAAACATTATTTTCAAATAAATCAACACACATATGAATATATATATATATATATATATATATATATATATATATATATATATATATAAGAATAATAATAATTAATATTACTAAAATTCGGGGCGTTACAATTTTAATACTTGTACATTTTATAAATTGAGTAAAAAAGATGAAAGTTTTAAATTTTATCAAATTTTGCACTATAAATATAAGTAAATCTATTTTATTTTCTCTTTTCAATATAAATTATTTGACAAATTGTATAAATAAAATAAGGACATTACATTAATAATACTAATTTTCATATAATTTTTTCTAAAATGTATTACTTGTATGTATTATGTATTTAGGTGATGATTTTAAGAAGATGTGCATTCACATTTACTAATCCAGTCTTAATTTATAATAAAAAATAATTTTTAATTAAGAGAATGTTAAATGTCATTTTAGATATTTGGAGTTTTCTACAAATCCTATATATAAAGTTAATAATTTTCATAATTAAAACTTTCATATCCATTCTTAATCGCAATATGAATTCATCATAAAAATAAGTTTTTATATTGATAGATTGTTTAATATCCTTTTAAATCTTTTGCATACTTTTTTTGCACAATGGTTGCTTCTGTATTGTATAATTTTTGTAATTTTCACTAGCTTAAACAAAAATTATAGGATAAATGACTCAACAGAATTATTTCATTTAAGCCATACAAGATATTATAATATTTGGCTTAAGTCAATTTTGGAAAAATTTATTAATTCATCATTGTCTATAATTTCCTTAAGCTAATTTCTACTAGCTTAAATGAGTTTTGATGAAATTTATTAGTTCATCACTATTTATGTGAGAGAAAAAACTATCATTCCTCTTTAACACACTTACTCTTTATCTCTCAAAATTCAAGAAGTCATGATATTATTCATTGATTATTATTTGTTTACAAAAAAGGTCTTATTTATAACCCCTAACTCACAAAACTAATTTTCAACAGTTTCGTAAATGACTTATTTTTTTTTTAATTTTGCAATTACATTCTTCCTACTAATGACTTATTACAATTTATAATTCGCTTAAGCAAATAATGTGTGGCTCAAGTAAAAATTACAGCGAATGAGTATATGATATTTTTAAATTTAATTAGTTTCACTTACAAATATAATTCTTTAAAGTATAATAAACAAAAAGAATATGATTATTTAAGTTTAGGTTAGATTTGAAAAATAAATTTGTATGTTATTGAAGAGGGAAAAAAAGAAAAAATTAAAATACAACAGATAGAAATTAAACAAAATTTCTATGATAATATTTTAAGTAAAGATTATTTGATTTTATTTATCTCTTGTCTCATATATTTCTTTTTAAATAACAAATCAATCATACATTGATGGTCCAAAGATTATATTTTTATTCAATTAATTGGCAATAAAAGAAGCAAAATTATTTGCATTTAATTTTACCAATTTAATCTCGTTGGCTAGTGAAATTTCTAAAATAAAAATGACAAAAAACTATTTCCACTCTCACATAACACACTCCCTCACTCTCTTACTCACTGTTGTTAATTTTTATTTGACTAAAATTTTATATTTTGTCGCAACCTGTGACCGTTTGAGTTATCCGACGCCACTCTTTATTATGCGGCCGTTGATGAAAATGGCTTCGCCTCTTTTGACAAAGATTCTTTTGATGTCATCGCTTGATTTGCATGCTCCTTTTGAAATTCTTGGGGTTTAATTTCAAAGAAAAACATCACGGGGTAACTCTAAACTTCAATTTTGCTGGAGCAACTCTTAGTTTTTATTTTTGGATTATGCATGTGTTGAAGTTGATCATAACTAATTATTCATTAAAGAAACATAGAGTTTTAGCCTTTTCACTTTCATGAAATGAAGCTAAGCTTAATCAGTGTATATCGTCCTTATGGCTTCCCAACACTTCTCAATTCATCTGCTTTTAGCATTCTGTGTAGACCCTTTTGCTCTTCCGCACTATCATCTCCACCCACTTGTTGTGTGAAACCCCAAGTTCCCCTCTTTTTGAGGCCACCCATTTACTCGACCAAGTTGTGTGACCTCAAAAAATGGCAAGATTGGGCCAAGAGTGTTACTTCTTCAATTGGGTCAACTTTTGTTGACTCAGATAATGGGCCAGACTCTGGCATTTTGTGCAGGGAGCTCAAGTGGCTCATGGAGGATGCTGTTGAGGATCACTCATTGATTTCCCACATGGGTGTGGAAGGTGATGAGAGGGTGAGTATGAGGGTTGAAATGGAGGAGCTTTACTGTTTATGGAGGCAGAGGATCGAAGAGAGGAGACCCTTTCAGTATATAGTTGGGTGTGAGCATTGGAGGGACATGGTCTTGAGTGTCCAAGAAGGGGTTTTGATTCCAAGGCCTGAGACTGAGCTTATTATTGATTTTGTGTCTGATGTGGTGTCAAGGAATGGGGATTTGAAAAGAGGGGTGTGGGCTGATTTGGGGACTGGAAGTGGTGCCCTTGCTATAGGTGTTGGTGGGGTTTTGGGGAGCGGAGGGAGGGTTATTGCCACTGATTTAAGTTCCATGGTTGTTGCTGTTGCAGCTTATAATGTGAAGAGGTACTGCTTACAGGTTAGAGATTCAAGCCTTTTCATGTTTGTTCGTTTTTTTATACACCATGGTTTTCATGCTCCAACTGATTGTTAATGAAAACGTGCTGAAAACTGGAAGAAAAGTTTTCCAGCTACCATATTCCTTAAATTTCTTTTTGTCAATTTCACAGCCCATGTGTTTGTTAATTTTTGTTATTCCTTTCATTTATAACAACACTAATAACAAATCTTTATCCCATTTGGTGACACCACTGGGCTTGATTTTTAATATATTTTTATGTTGTGTTTGTGTGTAATTGTGTATGTTTTTTCGTTTTTAGTCAAAGCTGATACTTTAATTAGATGTGAAGCCTAGACCATAGAAAGTCACTGTTTTACCAGTTGTTAATGAGGAAAGGCCTAATTATAGGTTTAAATGTAGTTGAGAATGGAACCTAGCCTTTTTTTGAAATAGATATTGTATCTGTGTGAGTAAAGAGAAGTATATCAACTTATGAACATGAAAACAAAAGAATCTAAATTTGTTTTCATATAATTGCTTTTCATCTTTTATCATCTTGTCCCCTTTAAAATGTATGCACTTAATATATGTTATTGCATCCACTAATGATTTATATGGCCAACATTTGAACCACTTTGTTGTCCTTTATAGGACAAAATTGAATTAAGGAAAGGATCTTGGTTTGAACCGTTGAAAGATATGGAAGGAAAGCTTGCAGGTCTTGTAAGCAACCCACCTTATATACCAAGTAAAGACATATGTGGTCTACAAGCTGAAGTTGGTAGACATGAACCTAGAGTTGCTTTAGATGGAGGTACTGACGGCATGGATGCTCTTCTCCATCTATGTGATGGAGCTGCTTTAATGTTGAAACCTGGTGGATTTTTTGCCTTTGAGGTATGGGTTTTCTGTTTGCATCAAGTGTACCAAATTTCTTCCTTGTTTCTTGTTGTGCTTCTGCTTGTTCATAAAAATTAATCAAAATGGTACTCCTTAGTGTAATTTGATGACAATTTGGTGACCAATAATCCCCCTTGGACAAGGGGATTTTGATACATAGCAAGTTGTAAATTTTGCACATTTGATCAAACTTGGAAAAATTGGAGATGATTTTTATAAGCAGTCCTTTCTATAGATAGGTTTTAGTCTATGTCTATTCCTTGAAAATAAGTTGTTGTTTGCTAAACTACTTTTGTCTGAGTCCTGACCAGTATCACCTAAATAAAATTCAAGTAAGTTTCTCAAAGTATATGTGATTTCATGTCAGTACATAAATTAGATCCCAGTGCTTTCCTTTTTATTGTTATTTTTTATTAAATTATTATGTGTATTGTTATTCAATTTTAGCTTTTATGTTGGTTAGTACCCAATGTGTGTGTGTGTGTGTGTGTTGACTTAAATCTGATGCAGACCTTGCAAAATATTGAGATTACCTTTCACAATTTAAGCAATTTAATTTGAAAAGTTTTTGTCATGTCCAATGTTTAGCATTAATTTATGTTATCATGGGACAGAAAACATGTAATGTCATTGTATAATGGATTTGGAGCTAAATAACTTTGATCATGATTCCATGCTTCCTTTGTGGTCTTAAAGAGGTGACCCAATGTTGTCTCTGAACAATGTTGAAATGTCACTATGATGGTAAAAGTTCGGTAGTTTTGTAATATGGCAAAATTTAGTTTAGGTTCCTTATATCCTCCCCGTTAAGTTATCAAATTAGTGACATGTGGATTGTTTTCTCTAACATTAAATGGCCTTTATCAAGAATGTGTTGGGATCATTTTTTGCTTTTAGAAATGGCAAGGATATTATTAGGAACTTGGTCTAGGTTTTGTCCTTTGCACTACTCTAAGTTTCTTCCTCATTTATAATAATTTTAAATTGCGGTTGGGGTTACTACTGTGATGCTGGTTGCAGTCAATACTGTTATAACTTTTTTTTTTTTTTTTTCAAGTTTGCTACTCTGAAAATTCCTTATTTTAAATAGAAAGACTGCTATGTTGCAGTTGCTTTGCAGCTATGATGATTACTTTAAGGCTTTTGCATCAATTTATGGAGTTAGATTTATAGGCTTACATTGGTTGTTCTTTTCCATCAACAGTAATTAAGCACTTAAGTCTTATCCCTCTAGATAATATCAGCTATATAGATCACATAACGTCATTGAGCAAAAATCAAATTCTTTGTGATACTATTTATTGTTAAATCTCTTTTAATAATTTCTTTAAAAGTTCTGAGTTCTAATTCTCCTTCTACCCTTTTTTCACGAAACTAAAAGTTATGCTATCTACTCTCTTTATTGGTGCCTCCAATGGTCTATACACGTGTCTAAACCACTTTAATCTATTTTTTTGTCATCTTTTCTGCAAATACTACTCCAATATTTTCATGTATATAATAATTTAGTATTCTGTCATTTTTTGTGTGATTACTCGTCCATTTTTTTCTCTAATCCTTTTAATCTTTACTACATTCTTTTTTAAGTGTTATCTACAATGATGCCTAATCTGTTCTGTCCTGTAACTTTTTTTGTGCATCAAATTTAAAACCTGTAGTATTAAGTTCTTTAGTTTTTACTCCAACTCATTTTATTTCTTGAAGAAACATGATGTTCTTTCCCATCAATTTTATTTATTTATTTTTGAAGTTTTCCCTGAAAAACTGGATTTGCAAGATGAAGTTCAAAATGTTGGACTCTGGCAAAATAAAAAATTAGAGCATGGAATAGCATAATATTTAATATTTTAGCCATTGACCTATGCTTATGAAGTTGAAATGTTACAAGACAGTGGAAGGTTTTCTTAGTAGATATGAATCTGGGTTAGAGGAACTGGTGGATTGAATAATTGAAGATAAGGAATAACTGAAGGCAATAATAGTAAGCTGTTTATGGTTCGATCAATGACTGTGTGGGTGCTGTTATTGTGAACATTACCTGTGGTATTTGGTGTTTGGGTTTGCTAGGTTTCAGCAGATTGAAGGAATAATCGACTAGTTGGTGTAAAGTATTGAAAGTAAAATGAGTAGAAGACAATAGGCATGTCGCTCGAGCATCACACGAACCTAGAAGGGAAACTACAATAATGACTAAATGTTAATCTGATCCCATATAAAAGCAAAGCATTTCAAATCATTTAAAAAGATCTATTGATAGTATGATACTTGTACTCTTAACAGTTATAGAATCCTAATCTAAAATGTTTCGGAATGATACTTTGTGCATGTCAACCCATAAGGATATTTCATGGACTTCTAAACACAGTAAAATAATTATGATATAGTGTTGAACATAACAACCAACCCAATTCTATTCACAAGTAGCCCATAAAGTGGAAAACGTTTTATTTTTCAACGTAAGCATTTTTTAGGTTATTACATATTGTATCACATTGATTATATGTTGCTTCTGATTGTTTCTTTCCTAACATGTCTTAACAGACAAATGGGGAGCAGCAGTGCAAGGCTCTTCTTGATTATATGAAAAATAATAGAAGTGGAAGCTTATGCAATTTTGAAATACTTGCTGATTTTGCTGGGATTCAAAGATTTGTAGTTGGATTCCATCAATGAGCAATTTGAGTCACTGACACATGTTTATTATATCTATTTCTTGAGTGAATAATTCTCCCATTGCTCTACTAAAGAGGAGAACTACTAGTTCTGCTTCTTCATAAATTTTTGCAGGGTCTATACCCCAACATAAAAAAGGATAAAAACCTGCAAAGCTGACACTTTCCCATCTTATGTTGTTTGTTTGGAGAGGCATCAAAGTCTTAACAATCTATATATATATATATATATGAGCAATGCTATTTTCAAATACTCTGTACAAATTAAAAAGCAGTTATGTTATATTTATAAAAAACATTTGATATGAGTTATTTGTTTTTTAGATTTAAACCAATCTAATTCTTAAATCAACACATTATTTTATTATTGTTTAAAATTGAATTTATCAATTTTACAAATAGACTTGAACTTTCTTACTCCTCTAATATAGAGTTTGCTTTCAAAGCTCTGGAATCATAACTAAGAATGTTGTCATTCAGTTCAATGTGGTTTGAATATAATTTTAAAACCGAAAATATCAGTTCAGTTTGGATTGATTTTTGTTTATTACTAAGTTATTTTATTTTTCAAAATTTTATTTATTATTATGTAACTTTTAATCTATTTTCAAATTTAGAATAAGTAGTAGCTTAAAATTTGAAATGAGTTTATTAAAAAAATTAAAATAATAGAGAAAATAAATGATGATTGCAAAGATACAAATATAAAAAATATTTTTTATATGAAAATATAATAAAAAAATAATATAAATTTATTATAAATGAAGTTTAGTTTGATATTAAGAAATGAGATTTGAAAATCGAACTAATTTCGATTTTACAATTGATGTAGCGGTTTAAAAATTATTTGGTTTGAACACTTCTAATCAAAAGCAACACAACAGAGAAATTTAAAACAGGTTTAAAATATTTTGTTAAAGTAGTGTTAATTCTACTAATTTTATTTAGGAAAATTGTTATAACGTTAGTTTTTATGTTTAATTTTAAGTATTTTAATATAATAAAATTTTATAAAAATATTTATTATATTTTTATAATATATAGTACGTAACAATTGTTCAAAATTTCATAGTTATGCATGCATGAATTATGAATGGTATATATTTTAGGTGTTAGAACGCGTTTTTCTTAAAATATTTTAAACAAGTCTTTGTACTCTAAAAATTTGTAAATATGTTTTTAGACTTTTAAATTATTTTTAATTAAGTCTCTGTCTATATTTTTATCTGAATTCTGTTAACTATAAGGATGCATAAGGATTTAATTAATTTTTTTAGAATAGGTTAAGGAGTTATTAACTAATTAAATTAGTGGTTTAGTCTTTAAAATATTTTAAATTTTTAATTAAGCTTTTGTTCTTAACAGAATCTTAACAAAATTCTAAATAAAGGATCAAATTTAAAATAATTTAAAAACTAATAAACATACTTATAAACTTTTAAAGCATATAGACCTATTTTAATTTTTGCAAATAATTAATGGACATATAAATTAATTTAACCATAATTCAATTAAATAGTCTTAATTGAATTAATGAGACTTGAAGGAAAATAAAAATAATAATGCCTTTAGATATGATTTTTTTTAACAAATCATTTATGAATGGTACAAATCATATTTTTATATAATCAACCATTGATATTATAAAATTGTATTTATTAAAATTCAAATTAAAATCACACTTTAAGTGAAAATAACTCCGTAAATTGATTATGTGCTTAGTTGGAATAAACTTTTAATTTTAAATTTTATAAAAAAAATTCAAAAAGCCCTGAATTCAATAACTTGCGATAAAGAACAAGTAACCCTTCAAAGGTTAAAAAAAACCACAATTTCAGTTAAAATACAACTTCAATAAAATTTTACTGGAGCATCATCAGAAGTGGCACCTTCAGCACGAAGATTCCCCGTGTAGACAAACATCATCACACAACACACTCACTCTCACTCACTGTTGTTATTTTTGTTTTATCTTTTGTCGCAACCTGTGACCGTTCGAGTTATCCGAGGCCACTCTTTATTATATGGTCGTTGATGAAAATGGCTTCGACCCTTTTGACAAAGATGCTTCTGGGTCATCGCTTGATTCACCCTTCTTCGTTCCTCACTCACCAGCCTAGGATTCTCCCTTCTTTATTCAGAGTAAGGTTCACCTTTTCTCTGAAATTTCATCTGGGTATCCTTCTCCCCCCCCCCCCCCCCCTATAATTTGCGTTAATTTTCCTTTTATGAGACTAGACCAACAATTTGATCTTTGCGTTCTCTATGGTTGTTTCGATTTGTGGGTATCTGGGTTTTCGGTTTTTCTCATTAAAGTTTTGATTTTTGGATATGGGGTTTGGGATATGTGTTGGTCCAATCCAAATTGTGTGTTTTCGTGTTTTATGTTGTTAAATATTTGGCTCATATCATATACTTGCATGACATGCTTTAGTGGCAATTTACCATGACATGTGTTTCATACAATTTCTCTCTTTTTTTGTTTGTTTGTTTGGTGTTGAGTTAGTGGATCAACTGAAGTGCCATCAGTATGTGTTCATAACTCATTGGCAATGGATGGCTGGGTGCTTTGCATGCTCCTTTTGATGTGAGCAATATCTGGAGGGGATTGATTCTAATTTTTGTACTAGTGAAATGTATCAAATGATAATGCCCATTTGTCGTCAATTGGGATGCAAAGTATTAATTTTTGTAGGTTTACTTTTGAATTGGTTATATTTTGAATCTCATTTCTTTGCTTTGGCTTTATTAGTGAATCATTTATAATTTGATTAGTTAATCTCTTGAGATACTGATGTGTGCATATATATATTTTGCTAGGAAGGAAAAACCAAATCCATTGCTCCTTTTATGTATTAAAGTTTGATAGAAGCAATTGAAAAATGTTTTTCAATATTCATGCAGTTTATCATGTTGAGAACTTTTCCTTTTGTAGTTGGTGCATCTTAATTTTTTCTCCTATTTACTGAAAAAACTAACCTTGATGACTATAACCCAATAATTTATTTCTGCATTGTCTTATTGACCACCTGCCGACTTCACCTAGTGGAGTAAGGCTTGGTTATTGTTGTCTTATTGACACCACCCAAGATTCCCCTTGATCTTTGTTTGTTCTTTTGGCAGAGATCTTATTGTATAATTCATCTTCTACATGCAGAAACGGCTGTTTTGTATACGAGCTGTCCCAGCCTACAGAACCCAAAACATCAAAACAACTGGTTGGGCTCCTTGTATGGCATCTTCTACAGTTGGTAGAAGGGCTACATATTCAACACAATCTGTATCAACAAATGAACCAGTTGTTTCTGTGGATTGGCTTTATGATAACCTGAAGGAGCCAGATATCAAGGTTGCCCGGTCGCCTTTATTGCTGACCTTATGTCGCCCTTACATATTTTTATTCTACACATTTTGTAATTTTGTTATTGCTGCTGTTTTTCTTTTTTGTTCTCACGTCCATATGTTGAACGAATTCTAATTTCAGTTTCCTTTACAATAAAGAAAATATAGAAGCTGTGAATTACACAAACAGCCTCCAATGAAAGTGCTAGGTTTACTAATTTGATCAGTTTTGGGAAAATGGAATTCCACTTGGTTACTTCAGTTACTTATTGACGGACTCTTTTTTACTTGTGCTAAACCATGGATCTTGGTCATGACAGTTATGGTCAAACTTTGCTGTATGCATATGGTTTAACTAAAATACCCTGTTCTTTGATCCCTAATATGGACACTGGTGCAATTACAATACATCAGGTTGGAGAATCTCATTATTTGATAAGTGTATGTATACGAATGGTACCTAGTAAAATTAGCAAAGAGCCAAAGACCGTACTTTGAATCGCATATTGCCCCCAACTCGGAAATTCGATCTAATGTTTAGGGGATTATAAAGCTGTCTCCGAACTATATGGTCAACCTGCTGTAGTTGGCACCAATTGATTCTATTTCCCTTTTTAAATCTCCTTACAACATATGCATGATCTGAAAAATACCCCTTAAATATGGCATCCTTATTTGGTATTGTATTAGAATATCCATTAAAATACTAAGACTTATCTATTCTATTCAGGTGCTGGATGCATCGTGGTACATGCCAGATGAGCAGAGGAATCCAATTCAAGAATATCAGGTATTGAAATGATTTCGGTGGGAACTTCATTCTTAGGACTTTAGAATTTTGAACAACGGAATGATATATGGTATTACTTGAATATGTTCTATTGTATGCAACATGCATGTAGTTTTATGATTTTTCATTTGTTTTGTCTACCGTTTTCTGTTAATGTGTATTTTGTGTAATGCCATATGCAACAGGTTGCTCATATTCCTGGGGCCCTGTTCTTTGATGTAGATGGAATAGCAGATCGAACTACAAATGTAAGCTGATCTCTCTTTACGTTTTTTTTTTTTTTTTAATGTTTTTATATACACCTTTATGTTGAAATTGTTCTTATATTGTAATTTTGTTTATATATGTAGTCAGTAATCTTCTGATCTTGTGCCACTATGTTACAAATAAAAGAAAGTAGATGAAGAAAGAAAAATGAAACATGTACTTCATTTTTCAATTGCCTAGCTTGCATGACAGTTCAAAAGGATTATTTTCTATTTCAGGGAGTCCTTAGAAGAATGATGGCTGACTGATATTTCTACTTCCTTTTGGTGGATACTAGTTTAATATCTGAATACTTGAGACTCTTGCTTTGCTGATTATATATTTTAGTTGAAATTTTAAATATATTTTTTGGGTTAGAATATTAGGGTTATTTGTTTGTTAGGAGTCTTGTTATATGAGCAGTCTTATTGGTTATATGATTATTTTATAGTTTATTCGTGGTTGGAAGTGCTTTTGTTCTTGTTAATCATATGTGGTATATATCTTGTCTTTTAATGAAATTCAATTTTCCCATTATGGCAAATATGTCAATGCTGACTTGTGTTCGATGATCAGTTACCACACATGTTGCCATCAGAGGAAGCTTTTGCTGCTGCTGTTTCTGCTCTTGGCCTACAGAACAAAGATGATTTGGTTGTCTATGATGGAAAAGGATTATTTAGTGCCGCTCGTGTATGGTGGTACGCCTTGTTGTTGTATAAAAGCAATAACAATATGCTGTTTGCATTGTGGAATCATGGGTTTTCCCATGTAGTTTAACTAATACCTCTTCCCTCTGCTCAATGATTAAAAGGATGTTCCGAGTGTTTGGGCATGACAGAGTTTGGGTATTAGATGGTGGCCTGCCGAGATGGCGTGCATCTGGTTATGATGTTGAATCTAGTGCTTCGGGTGATGCTATTCTTAAAGCCAGTGCTGCAAGTGAGGCAATAGAGAAAGTGTACCAGGGACAAACAGTGAGATTGGAATCTTTCCATCTATTTTAATATGATTTATTTTATTCTTTTGAGTTCCTATTCTCTTACATAGTTTAGTTGTGTGGAATTTGACATTTATATTGTGTTAATGCATTGATTCTTACGTAAATTTTTTGTTCCCAGGTTGGTCCACTCACATTTCAGACGAAATTTCAGCCACATCTTGTTTGGACCCTTGATCAGGTTGGTTGCATTTTTATTAATGCCATATCAAATGTAAATTTAGAATATGCATGTCTTCATTGCTGGAAGAAATAAACGTATTGTGATAGGAAAAGCTCCAATTTAGAAATATGGCTGTTGATCCTGCTAGAAGCTCTTTAGTTCTTGTTTGTTTACCTTCTAAAATCTATTTTACAGTATGACACATTCCAATTTAAAATTTATGGTTAAGATTGATTTGGACACATTCCAATAGAATTCAACAGTTCAAAATCAAAACTATCAAAACCAATTCCACCACATTCTAAAAAAACTGGCACTAAGCCATCACTTAAATTAAGTTGACGATATTGTTTACATGATAATTAGAATCACATGAATCATGTGATTTGTATCATGATTCAAAACAATTTCTGAAGAAATAGATACAAATCACATGAAGACTTGTTTTCTACCTCGAATCACAGCTTGAATTGTGTGAATCACTCCAGTATAAGAAGAATCGTGAATCTGAGTTACATGGTGTGATTCTTTCACAACTGAATTGCACTTTGAAAAAAACACAATTTTTGGAATTTTTGTTTATAAAATTAGAGGAAAAGTGTTGAAATCTTTCCCTCCCACTACCCCAAGTCAGATTAGTGATAAATAAAGGCTCAAGTCAAGTTTTATTCAGTTTTAGATTTTGAGTTGCAGAGAGCATGCTGCGGGTCTAGTGTCTTTGGTTGTAGGTGGTACTTCAGTTTTGTTTTGGGCTTGGGCCGAAGTGTGGGTTTTTTCTTTTGGTTGTTTGGTGGCTAGGATATAATGAGAAAAAAAGAAAACTAATTATGGTTATAATAATTTTTTAAAGATTGATAAATATTTAGGTTTTATAAACTTTTGATATAATAATTAGATTATAATTGCTGCCTCTTTAAGAAAATGTTTTTAGGGGCTATAGAGTTACACTTGAGTATTTTTTTCCCCATTATTTTTACACTTTATTACCTATATAGTGAGTTATTTAACCTTAAAATATTAATATATAGAAGTTTCTAATGTTTTTGTATGGTATTTTAATTATTGATCATGAATCTTACGATTCATGATATGGTTTGATTCTCAATTCAAAAAATAGGCCTTCCAATTCGCAATATGAATCCCAATTTGATAACCTTGATTGGTAGTTATAGAAGTATCATAAGGTTTCTGGCTAGAGAGCCAAAAATTAGTTACCACATGGATAGGGATAGATTTGAAGTAGCAGTTGCAATTTTGGAAAGACCTCAAGTAGCTTGAAACTCTAAACTCAATTTTATAATGGACCAATTTTCCTGCTTTGTGCTATTTTATTCTTCTCTCATCTTAATAAACTATTGTTAGTTATTAATAATTGAGTTTAGAAAACATGAACACTGACAGTTTAAAGAAACAATATGAAATATTGACAAGATCATGTGGATCCATTAAATTTGTTATCTTTAAGAAATAATTAGCATAAATATGATATCTATAATTTACAGGTCATGCATTATATAAGTGGTAAAGCTCTGTGAATGCTAGTGTTTCCTACTAGTCACAACCAAGTTCTAAATGCAACACATAAAAGAGAAATCATGGGCTCTTGTGGAACTGAGCTTTGCATATATCAAAGAAAAACTCCAATGATTGATCATTGGTTTTAACATCTTTGTGTAATAAGAATAATAATATAAATTAAATTGTAACTTGGTAACTTCAGATAAATCTACTTGAGAGCTTTTCAATTCATGTTGCCATCATTAATAGAAAAGTTCAGCAAATTTATGCAATATGGTTCTTGATATTGTTTGGCAATATGGTAGTCTCTTGAAATGCTTGGTATGATTACACAGAGCTTTCCAAATGCCAAAATCGGCTAGAACTAGAAGAGGTATCTTATGTGACTTGGACACTGGTAACTATATTGTAAGTAAAATGTTTCCTTATTTCCTTTTTGTTTCTTTCTCCTTTCAGGTAAAGAAAAATATAGAGGACAAAACTCACGAACACATAGATGCTCGATCAAAGCCCAGGTTCTTTACATTCCCCTATAATTCATTATATATTTTCAAATCAGCATGCGGTGTGCATGTAACATAGTTATCAATCCTGGATAAGGGTGAAATGTGGTTGATCTGAAAAGCGCTAGGATGGCTGGTATACTGAATATTATTGATATATGCTAAATAATTTACCCTAATATAAATGCTAAAAAATACAAAAAGTACCCCAAATTAAAGGTATATCCATAATTACTAATAAAAAGTAATAACGTTAACATATATAATCACCATTAATCTAAGGCATAATTACCAAGGGCAAGGTGACAATTACAAAAGTCAATGAGCATAAGGGGTGAAAGAAAGAAAGTTGATGGAATTACTTGAAGAAAGGAAGATGGTGGAATTAATAAAAATAATGAGGGGGCTGTGATTTATGAAAAACATAGCAAAGGATGACTGTGAATAATTAAGGGCATGGGAAGGGAGAGCAAATTCTTCATTTCTAATGAAAATTCTTTGATTTGATATTATTTTAAAATGATTGATTAGTATAAACGTGATGTTCCAATCTTTATAATAATGGTAGTCTTATCCCAACCATTGGGAGAAGGCTTTGGTTGTTGCTGTATGTTGGTAGGTTTCTTTTGCAAGTTACTTTGTTTTCCATGGATTAAGTATTTTTCTCTTTTAACATAAAAAAAAAAAGTTTTTTACTTATGTAGATTTTATTCTTTGGCAGGTTTGATGGAGCTGCACCAGAGCCCCGAAAGGGAATCAGAAGTGGTCATGTACCTGGTAGCAAATGCATCCCTTTTGCCCAGGTACAGCATATGGTTATCATTTTTTTGTAATGATTATCCAGAAAAGCAGTTTAGATTTCCTATTGATCGCATTGGTTTTTGCTGATATTGACTTGCATCTGGATTTGGCTTCTTATATTCAGGGCATGTTTGGATAAACAACTTAGTTAAGCAGTTATATAATAAGAGCTTATCACAATATGACAGTTTCATAAGTGCTTATGACATAACTGAACTTGTTGTAATTGAGGGGGCCATTGAGATTGCTAAATTTATCTTATAGGAGGATTATAAGTACTAAACAGTTGTTATTTTTAGCTTAAGAATTTATATGATAAGAAAAGTTACAATTTCTTCTAAACATCCCCTCAATCTACTGATATTCCTTTCTCCATGTAGATAGCAACTTTTTTACTTACAGATTTACAAGTATGAAGTATAGAAGATAATCTGCATGATGTTTGCATGTCTTTACTGTTGAATATTGGTTTGAATTAAAATTCTCCAGGATGTTTGATACAACCCACACAAACACGAACACAAATAGAGAGAACAGAAACGAATAAAGGGCTGCAAATATAGGAAGAATGTTATTAATAACAAGTAAGGGACAAACAGAATAAAATGCACTAGGAGAGCAATATCTCCTAATACTCCAGAGCTAGGCTCCTAATAGAGAGCAATTGCTGCTCTATCCTGCAATACAAAAAGAACAGAATCATCATAACCTCCTACCCCTGCCTCATCATGTCTAAATAATGGAATATTATTCTCTCCCTAACTAACTCTGCCAGCTCAGCATTTCATTTGTCATTTTCTGATTTCTTCTTTCTCCTCACATAGACAAGCCATTCTTTGGGCTGTGTAACTGCTTCCTGGACTAACATTTCCTCTGGCCCAACATTGCCTTTTGGGTGCCCATCAATGTTGTTCAAGCTTGGTTTTGTTAGACATTTTTAATGTAATCATTGGGGTAGTGTGCTAGCAGACCCCAATTAGTAAATAATAGTCCTGTGTCTATTAGTTGGTTTGAACAATTAGCTAGTTAGAGTCTATATATGATCGGGGTATAAATAATAGCAGGGAAATAATAGTGAGCATTTTTAGACTGTGAGATTGGGAGTGTCCAGGTCTTTGTATAGTGGTATTCTATACTGTTTCTCAATCATTTACCTCTCACCAGTATCATCTTGATATAGGTTCTAAGACTGTTGGTTCTGTCAATAAAGATCACATTTTTTTTTCATCTTAATTCTGATCCTTTTCTGTAATATTGGCCAATTTTATTGTTAAGATCTTGTTGGTGTGGGCAAGTGTGTGTGTGTGTGTATATATTTATAATATTTGCTATACTACTATTTTACCAATGCTAAATGTCTTCATCTGCAGTTGTTAGATAGTTCACAGACATTGTTACCAGCTGATGAACTTAAGAAGCGGTTTGATCAAGAAGGTGTGAATGTCTTGTGATGAATGTTTATAATGCTGAAATCGCTTGTGTTTCTTTTTTTCTTGCTAATGTCGTACATTCCTATTGATCTGCAGGCATCTCTTTGGAAAGCCCAGTTGTGACTTCGTGTGGAACTGGGGTTACTGCTTGCATTCTTGCATTGGTACACCTCTCTCTCTCTCTCTCTCTCTCTCTCTCTCGATGAATCTATTGATTTTCATACCTTTTGGAAAAGGAATGTGGGTAAAGTTACTTCTTTTGTGGGTCGAATACCACCTATTTTTTCATGGATATAGAAGGGAAAAATTGCTTAGAAAGAGTGTTAACTAGTCAATAGTCAGTACTTTTATATACTAAGGACAACGGGAGAAATGGTCAAAGTGATTAGAGTTCTTTTTTCTTCCTCCTGATTAATAATTCTCCAATTTCCATTCTTTCATCCCTCTTTCCATATAATTAACATTTTTTCTAATGTGTCCTACTCCTTGGACACAATAAGAAATTAATAAATAACAAATTTTTAGTGAAAATTGTAGTATTTAATATTATCACTACATTGATTCTTTCATGTGATTTTCAATAAAAACTTCCTGTACATGTACTATCAACAAAGAACAAAACTTACGTGTAATATCATATGTACTTGTGTCAACCATTAATGCTAGTGTATTGACTTTTTTATCATGTAGATTATTAGGGTGAAATTTCAATTTTGATTGGAAAACGGCCTTTACAACACTGCACTTTAGTTTTTTTTTCTTATGTATATTCTACTGCACAAATTTAATTTACTATCATAATGAGAAGTAGAAAGCTCATTCATAAGCTTTAAAAACTGTGATTAGTTAAGTTGATGACATGGAAAAATGGAACCTGTTTGCCTTACATTTGAAAATTGGCCTCTTTTTTCAGGGTCTTCATCGTCTTGGAAAGTCTGATGTTGCAGTTTATGATGGATCATGGACCGAATGGGGAGCACAATCTGATACACCTGTTGAAGCTTCATCCACTCAATAGAGTCAAATTTTAATTTGCAAGTGAAGGGGCTGTCAAACATTTTGAGCACACCTATTTTTTCTCTACCTTTTTACCTTTTTCTTGTTTTGGTTTAATTGTGATTGAATTGCATGTCAAATATTATTAATATTAAATCCTATCTTGTGGCTTATAAAAAATAATGATAGGATTGTTCAAGAATGCCTCATAAAAGTGGGATTTGTTGACACAAGGTACGTGTTTAGTATATGGATAAAAATTTAATAATTATAAAAATCAAATCTAATTATAACTTTCTCGCACTTATTCTTTTAGACCTTAATTAATTACGGTAAGACAACTTTGCATGTGAAGTTGACTTGCCTTGGTAATCGCAATTTGTTCTGAAAAACTATGTTTAGTTGTTTCCAACTTGGTATGATTATACCTTTTAAAATACATTTGATTAAAGGTAAGAAAAATGTGACGTGTTTTAGGTGAAAAATGTTGTATTAAATTTTATTATACATTAACATTTGAGATAAAGTGTTTAAATATATATTAGTGCGCATTTATTGTTTAGTTTATTTTAAGAAAACAATTGCTTTTTTAATTTAATTTCTTGAAATAATTATTTAGAAAAGGTGATTATTTCTTTAAATTTATGTTGAATGAACATGTATTAAAATTTAAATATAATAAAAGTCAATAGAATAATTTAAAATTGTTTATAAGTGTTCACTTGAATGCCCAATTAGATTCATATAAATCATTATTCTTATCTAGAAGTTTTTCAAGACTATATTAGCAAAATTCCGAATGCAGCATTTTTGTCGAAAAATGGATATGAATATAAACAGAAGTTTTGCAGTACAATTATTTTGGTGGTAATCTTTATTCCCTACATTATTGGAAACTCTATAAACTGATCGTAGATTGGTTCTTAGTTTGTTAAAGGGAGGTGCAATTTTTTCATTTAGAAAACAAGTAATTTAGGGATTTCTTTGCTGCTTTTCCAAGACTTGTTTTTTGCAACCATAATGTGTGTTGGATCAGCTTTAAAATATCTTAAAATTACATTTAAAGATGTACACGTGAGCTGATAAATTTATATTAAAATTTAGTACAAACTTTTAACTAAAAAAAAAAAATCACAAATGTCTATTCAAATATACTATTTTATATTTAAAAAAATATAGCATATGTTTTAACAAAGTCAATGTTAATATATTAATGATTATACTATAACTTAAGTTATTTGCTAGTCTTTAAATGCATTTAATCCCTCAGTTGAAGGTAGAGAAATTTTTATTATTTAGCAAGCAAATGCTATAAATAATACCAAATTTATAGTGTATTTATTACGTATCTCGTTATTTGCAATTATTCAATTTTTTTTTCTTATTTTATCGAACTCTTGTTCAAAATTACGACTCTGAAATTTGGAACGACAATTATTTGGAATGCGTACGTATAAGAGATTTAACCATTAGATGATAACAAAAAAAATCAATAACACAGACAAACTCAAAAACTCAAGTTTCGTTCATGAAAAATGAACTAAAAATTAAATCTAATCTAAAGCTCGTGTGAGAGAGCAATATTTACTGATTAACATCAAAATAGAAAAAAAAATGAAAATAAAACAGCAAAATAAAAGAAACATGTAAACATCTTATCAACAACAATTTATAATGCTTTCTTTTCAGTGTCTGCCCCAATCAATTCCTTAAGATCCTTAACAATAGTAGGTCTCGATTGAACATTGTTATGATTTGTCAAAGTTATAACAAATTCTTTTGGAACAAAGCACCTTTGTTCTAAGTATAACTTCTCTTGAACGAAGGGAGAAACAACCAGAGCATGTAAATTTTCAATTGGAGAACCTGCTTTATCTTCCTGCAAGAATTACCAAAGAAAATTAAGATGAAAAATTCAAAGCATTGATTTGATTTTTCTAGTTATACACTTCTAGAGTAAATTAATTAATAAACTCATTTTAAAGATGATAAATCATGGGTGACATTTTTCTGAAGCCCAAAGTCGGGACAATACAAAATCTAATTAATTTAATAACTAAAATAAAATAAAATTAAAAAGGAAAATATTAAAAGAAAACTTGGAAAATCAAATACAAAGTTTCATCTTTTTAAACAAAGAGAAAAAAAAAATATACACAACGGTCGTTAGCTTAAACTTTACATAAAACAAACTCACACATGTAAATTAATAACAAAAGGGAGTTATTGAAGTGAAATTAACACTTACACTGAATGTCTTGATGAGTTGAAGCATCTGAACTTGGGCCTGAAGGTAGTTAACATACTTAGCAGCTGCACTAAGCATTTCAGCTGTGTTCATCTTTGGTCCACCAGGAATTAACTTTCCAAGCTCTTGTGTTTTATCAATGATCTTTCTTCTCCTTTCTCTTGCCGCTATGCTTTGTGCAGAGATGGTTCTCTCGCTCTCTTTCTTCGGTGGAAGCTTAAACTCCATAGAGCATAGTATCTCTGGTGGCACTTGCTCTACATCGAAGTAGCAAAAATTATGATCTAAGAAACTAGATGGTGCATAGTCTTGTAAAGAAGAGAACAAGGGTTGTTGTTCTTCCTCGTAGAACTTTTGGCGTTTTGGGCATGGGAGAATGTTGTAATCTTCGGTTGAGAAAGTGGGATGAGCGAGTGAAACGAAAGGATCAATGCATGTAAAGGGTTGATGAGAAGTGTACAAAAAATCACATGTTGGGTTCAAGTTATCAAAAGGGCAAAAGCTTTCATCTGAATAAGAAAAATGGGGGTTTGGCGCTGCTAATTCTGGTAGTGCTTCTTCGATGGTGCTGATTTCTGAGTTGGGAATTTGAAGAGTGTCCCACGTGCTTGGCGGCATGGTAACACAAAAGAACCTGCGACATAAACAAAATGCATGTTTCAGTTAGTAAAAACATAATAAGAAATAATGAGTTGAAGTTTTGGTTAAATGCATGTGAACACAACATTAGAGACTAACATCTAGTTAGAACAAGAGAGATAATCGAGAAACAGTGCAGGAACAAGAATCTGAGAACAAAGTGTTACAGAGTTGAGAGTTAGAGAGAGAGAATCGAAAAGGCTGAGCGAAGAATGTAATGGAAGCTACCAAAACTATATAGTTAACTGCCTCCTACACATCTTTGTGGGTTCAGATATTTCAGGGAAGTGTTGGGGCAGTTATTCTAGTCACTGTTTTTTTTTTTTTTTTTTTTAATTTTTTTTTATAAATTTCCTTGCTTTCTCTCCAAGGAATTAAATAACCTCTTAATTTTAGGAAAAGATAAATAGTACAGATAAATTTTTCCTTGCTTTCTTCCACCATATATGGTGACAAACAATCTATTTATACAACAAATTCACGATCTTTTCTGTAATTATTTTTGAACATAAAGGAAAGATTAACATTAAGGAAAAATTAACTTATTTGGAAATTCAGAAAATTATACATACTATTGAAACAAAGTAGAGAATAAGAAAGATCACCGCGTCCACTGCCAGTAATATTGTTCTAAATGGAGTTATTATCTCTGTCACTGCCTGGAATAACGTAACTTGAATGCAACAAGCCTATATATGCAACACGTATGATAGAGCTAAGCCTTAAATGTTCAAGAAACTGCATCCCTGACTCATCATGATGTGTTTTAATAATAATAAATAAATAAATAGAATTACTATAAGGATGTATAGGATCAAGACATGTTTTTATAATAATCATGATGTGTTTTTATGATAATCTCAATTTTTTCATCAACTTATTCTCTTTTAAAAATATTGATGTAAAAGCTTTGTTCAAGATATGTCAATAACTGCCCCGAATCTATGATTATGTTGCAATCAGTTTGACCTGTTTGCACTGTTCTTGTCCAATGGTGATGCCTTCAAGATTGAGAAAGTAAGAGATAGGTAAGAAGAGCTTAATTATGAGGGGAGTAGACACAGTCTAACTGCAAAAGATTCAACAGCTTGCAATTATTCCCTGGACAGAAGCCAGAACACTGTCGTTTAAGTATTTTCCTTACTATAGCAGTGTACCAAATTAACCATATAATGTTCCCTAACATTATTGTTTATGCAGTATTTAATTCCTTTTATTATAGTAAAGAACATGATTAAAACTGAAATATTGTAAAAAATTATATTCAAGGAAATATAATGAATAATCATGCACAATAAATCCAACTGGCATAGATGAGAAACGGAAAAGTTATTTTGATATATCTTTATCTACTATTTGAGGTGCGAGGCTAGTGAAGCCTAAAAAATCACATAATTTTCAACAATGAATAAATCAAGTTCTATTTTTTTTATTATGATTATTATTATTTTGCAATTCACTTTGAATATATAAACCAAATACAAAAAGAAAAAAATATAATAAAAGATATGTTCCATAAAAAATTATAAAATTCATGTATGAAATTACAAAAAAATTGTTTTTCTAAAACATGTGTAGTAGAAATTAAAAATAATAAAAAAAGAACTTCCCCTAAAATATACGAACGTACCCACTGAATAAAGTAACTTCCCAAACCTCCTCTAAAATATCTACGTATGAGGTAGTTATCACCTCCTGAAAATAAGTTTTTTTTTTTCAAGTAGAATTATTATTTAGTAAAAATTTATACCAATATAAATCTATAAAAGTTATTGGTTATGTGGGAGTTAAATAAGTAAAAGGATAATTTTTATTATTTTACGGAAATTAAAAAATAATTATTCGTATATTTTATAACTTATTTTTCCCTACCAAACAGTACTTTTAAGTTAAACTAATTCTAAGAGAACATAAAATTATATGATTTGAAACCATCACACGTCTTTAATTTTGATCAATTACAAAATGGCTCTTGATCAATTTTCATTAAATTATTCTATTTTAAAAATATAGTTAAATGGAAATTTTTAATTAATCAAGATTATATATATATATATATATATATATATATATATTATAAAAATAAAAAATATGCTCTATAAAAAATTATAAAATTCATGCATGAAATGATGAAATCATACAAAAATTGTTTTTCTAAAACGTGTCATGGAAATTAAAAAGTTATTTCTTTATTTCGGGGCGAAGAATAAAAAAAATAAAAAAAATAAAAAGAAAATGGAATAACTGCCTCAAAACTTCCCCTAGAATATATGAACCCACAAAATGCTGAGTAAGAGTAACTTCCTCAAACTTGCTCTGAAATATCTGAACCTGTGTAGAGCCAATTATCACCGAGTTTACGTAGCTTCTGTGGTCTTTGTTCAGTCTTTTGCTATTCCTTCTCTCTCACCCTCAAATCCACAACATCTCATATTCTTAGCTTCTTCTCTCTCGGGTATATCTCTAAAATTGTCTAGCTAGATTTTGGTCAACAAGTCAAAGATTCTTGTGTTTTGTCTTGTCTTCTTATACATGCACATGCACAAAACTAGTCTCTTATCATGAGCTTTAAGTTTAACCATTACATTCATATACATACTAATATTATTTAACGCATCTTCTTTTTCATGTTGCAGGTTTTAATTTGTAACCATGACACTAAGCACGTGGGACACACTTCAAGTTCCCAATTCAGCACCACCACCAAACCATCATTTTCCTTATTCAGATGAAAGCTTTCACCTTTACGATAACTACTTTCACCCAACCTGTGATTTTTTCCACCCTTCTCATCAACTTTTTCCATGCACTGACCCCTTCATTTCATTCACTCATCACACTTTTCCAACTGAAGATTACCAACTTCTCCCATGCCCAAAACGTCGAAAGTGCTTCTACGAGGAACAAGAACAGCCCTTGCACTTTTCACTAGAAGACTTTGCACCCTCCAATTTCTTAGATCATAATTTGTGTGTTTTGCAAGAAGATCCAGAGCAAGTGCCACCAGAGTCCGTATTCTGCTCCATGGCGACAGAGTTTAAGGTTCCACAGCAATGTACTTTTGAGGATTTTCAGTGTGAGAAGAAAGGTAACGACAGAACTGTCTCTGCACAAAGCATAGCGGCGAGAGAAAGAAGAAGAAAGATCGCTGAGAAAACACATGAACTTGGAAGCTTGATTCCTGATGGACCAAAAATGAACACAGCTGAGATGCTTCATGCAGCTGCTAAGTATGTTAAGTATCTTCAAGCACAAGTTGACATGCTTCAACTCATCAAGACAGTCAATGTAAGTGTTAATTTCATTTTAATTTTAACTGTTTTAGAACATTGCAACTTTATGTGAATTTTTTTATTTCAATGTTTTTAAGTTATATATATAAATTTAACTCCCCAAATATGTTTGCTCATTTTGCTTTGTGTGAAGACGAGCTTAGAATTATAGTGTAAGGTGTTTTCTTTTTATCACCAATTTATTAAGTGCACTACAAGGGTTAACCAACCTAAGTAAATTAACAAGAATTACGTGCAGGTATTGATGTGCTATAATTAAGACTTATTTGGAGTCTGATTAGGTCCAAAATTCATGTCATTATATATGGCTGGGTTAGTTATTATATGTAATTTACTAATTTATGAATAGTTGTTTTTCTCTTTAATCCTACGTATATAGTGCTGTTCCTTCTTTTTATTTTTTGTAGGAAAAATATTTATGAATTGTTACAGATTTAGCATGTGATAGTGAGAGAGATTTAAGGAGATGGATAAAAAGATAAGGACATTGAAAATATGCGTGGGCAATATAAAATTAAAAAAAAGAAGAATAATGTAACTGCTTTGCATGTGATTTTCCATTTTTCTTTTAATATTATCATTTTTAATTTATTTCATTTCGTTTATAAAATTAGTTTATGTATTTTATTGGACCGAATTTGGAGAACTTTAGATGAAGGTCATCATGATTTATCACCCTAAAATTCAATGAGGAAATAATTTAGGGTTTAACTAGAAATAATCAAATTAATGCTTTGAATTTTTCATCTTAATTTCTTTCTTTTATGCCAAATTCATACTGTTTCAGGAAGAAGACGCGGATCCTTCACTTGAAAAGTTACATGCTCTGGTTATTTCTCCCATTGTTCAAGAGAAGTTGTACTCAAAAGAAAGTTGCTTAGTTCCAAAAGAATTTGTCACAACTTTGACAAATTATAACAATGTTCAATGGGGACCTACCATTATTAAAGATCTTAAAGAGTTGATTGGGCCAGACACTGAAAAGAAAGCAGAACAAGAATAATTTTTAATAAATTGTCTTTTTGATATGTTGATTGCTTCTTCTTTTTTTCTGTTTTACTTTCATTTTCTCTCAATGTTGTTTTGTAAATATTATCGTCCTTTTATGAGCCTTATATTAGATTTAATTTAATTTGTTCATTTTGTATGAATGAAGAAACCAAGTTTTTTTTTTTGTTTTAATGAAAATTTCTTTATCATCTAATGGTTTAATCTCCTTTGGAACAGTAAATTAGGTAAGGTGCCATTTTTGATCAAAAGTTCGATAAGATAAAAATAACGCGACATCATTGTAGGCTTTAAGAAAAATCCAGATAAAATTGATTTTAAGAATTTGCATTGCCTTGAAAATAATAAATATTTTTCTACCTTCAACCGATACCCAGAGACATTAAAGACATGTGAATAACTTAAGTATAATCATTACTATATTGACGTTTTTCTTCTGCAAGAAAGAGCTTTCTACTTCTCACTAGAATAGTAAATTAAATTTATGCAGAAAAATTTATATAGGAAAAAAAATATACTAATTTTCAAATCAAAATTAGAGTTTTAGTTCAATAATCTGTATAACAGATTTTCTTCAGCCAGCTTCTTGTCCAACCACCTTGCTAATATCTCAATTTTAACTATTATACAACAAATGAAAAGAAAAAAGTATAAAGTGTGTTGGAATGGACATTATTTGATATGAAGTAATCTATAGTTAAAAGTAAGCTTGTAAATAAAATTCAATATAAAATTACCAATTAAATGCAAAAATTACAGTTTATCAAGTTAGCTCAACATTAAATTTAGTGGCAAAATAAATGTTGACATAAAATTACCAAACATATATTAGTATAAATTCTAAACCACACTTACATTTTCAAACATAAGTTTAAGATCTTTCAACGCTAATTTAAACACAAGTATGATATTCACGCCAGAATAAAATCAGAAGCAAGAATGTTCTATAAGCGGAGGCCCTAATAAAAAGAGGTGTAAGATTCATTTTGGTTGGAATGAATCTAACAAAAAATAAATCAAAATTTATTGTCTTATAAGGACAAGGAAAGTTAATAATATTGCAACAAAAAATCAAAGCAGATTTTTTATTCACATTATCTTCGGAGTATGAAAATTGGTATTGGAGCACATGGCCGGTTTAACATGTGGAGCTTGCAGCAGATCCAATTCTCAACACACAATCTAGCAGCAAAAGATTCAACAGCTTCCAACTCTTCTCTGGAAAGAAGGCAAAACAATATGTTTAGGAAGTATTTTCCCTTATTAGAGTAGTGTATCAAATTAACCATATAATGTTCCCTAACATTATTGTTTAGTGAGTATTTCCCTTTATCATAGAATAAAATCATTATTAAAACTGAAATGTTGATGAAACAGAAAAGTTATTTCAATATATATAAAGGTGATGAAGCTAGATAAGCTTCAAAAGTCATATGTAAATTCAAAACATCAATGGAAAATTAACATATTTGGCAATCAAAGATATATTATTGGCACAAATTACAGAGACAGAAAGATCACCGTCCACCAGGGTGCCCCACATAAACGATTATGCTGATAAGCCCTCCTGGCATTAGAATTCTCTCTGCAGCTTCGAGTGCCAGTAATGTTGTTTCTGATTTTGTTATTATCTCTTTGTCACCGCCAGGAAGATAACCTAAGTTGAATGCAACAAGCCTATGCAACACGTTAAGATAGTGCTAAGCCTTAGATGTTCAGAAAACTGCATCCATAGTAATTCATCATGGTGTTTAATAATATATTTGTGTGTGTGTGAAGCTAATAGTTCTTCTCATGATTCAAGAAAACATAAAAAAGAATAATATAATGTACAATTCTTAGACTGTCTTATTCTTTGAAACATGTTTTGGTAATTTGTATAAGTCAATCACAAGTCAACAATAATATAAGTCATATTTTGGTTCATTATTTAAACATGTTCATTCACATATTTTCTCCAATATATAGATAATAGCTTTACTTCCATGTGATTGGAATTCAAAATGGTTCCCATATCTTTCCTTCTGATCTTTTGGTCTAAAACAAATCATTACTTCCTCTGTCTCAACTTCCCACCATCAACTTCCCACCATCAAGATTAGAAAGTCATTGTTGGCAGAGTTATTTCATAACAATATTTAGTATAACCACTGCAGTAAACCTTTTCCAGATTTAAAATGACTTTTGCCTTTTACTTTCAGTTAGTGAAGCATTTATCAGCGACTGAAAAAAATGTATCCCAGTTTAATTCATTTTACCTCTCTCTCTCATTCATTGCTGCGGATTGGAATACTTAAAGCAACAAAAGTACATTACTTGGGTTGGGCATTAGAAAATATCAGATAGAATGAGATCTATAGTGGTTATTTCTGAAAAACTATGAATAAGATTTTAGTTAAATTAGATGGTCCTTAGGCTTCACAATTCTAACATTTGAGAAGAAACTGCTGACAATTTTGTAAAGATGAAGATCATTGCTTGACACAGTAGCTTCCTCTGGACAGTATCAAACGTCAGCTTAAACAACCCAAATCTATTATAAGCATCTTTTAAGAGCCTGAACATGCATGTGGAATGGTATGATGTGAAAATCTATATATAATTCATTGTTTGCAAATTTTAAGACATACCCATCTATCCATGGTCAAGATTCATGCAGATGAGATCAAGGCTCAAACCATAGTTCGCTTTTAAAAAAAATCACTATATGAATAATGTATAATATTTCCTTTCAGTTCAGTCTGTACATTGAAATTAACTATACAAGTTATTTATTACCATTAGCTTCTAAAAATGACGCAGGACCAGAGGAATAAAGTAAGTTAAGGGAAAGTGAAATGAGTACCTAACCGAGGAATTCTGTGGAACAACTTCCTCCATTTTACTATGGCAGGTATTGAAGAGCTTGACTTGTTGTTTCTGCAAATATTTTGAAATCATTGTTGGTGACATTTTACTATGTCATCTAATTAACTATATCAAAACTAAAAGGCTGAAGGCCAGCTTAAGTGCTAACAATACATACTGCACTTTTACACTGCTGAATAGAAAGTAAAATTAAGACTTTGTTATTCATAGCAGGATAAAGTGTTACCAGAGTAAATTTATCTATGGCTATATAACAAAGACAATTATATACAATTTTCTTCACCAATTCAAAGTTGAAACTATTTGCTCATATATAGTCCTCACCCCATTGGAATTAAGCGATTCTTCCAGCAAGCATGAAGTATTATCTAAAGCATCTTTCTGAATGTCTAATGCATATACATAACCATTATGAGAATCATCAGCAACCAAATTAAGCATTGCTAAAGTGTCAAAACCATTGCCACATGTAGCATCAATGACTGTATCTCCTTTCTGGATAATATGTTTCCATACCCTGGTAGGAACGAGCAATATAGCTTTTATCAAGGTAAATGCACTATCATATCAAGGCATATAGATAAATATGAGAATGATAAAAAGTGGAAGTAACAAAATATTTGCCATAAAGTTATAAGCAGCAGACATGCCAAATAGAGTTCTGCAACAAACTTGGGACACGTTTACTTTTAACTCAACCCAATCTTCTTTTATAAGCAAGGCTGGTTAAATAGATATATACAGAAGCCCTCTAAAAATTATAGAACAAAGATAATTTCACTACATTATTATTAGGATTTACAACTACATAAAACATAAAATTGCTAGCATGCTGTGTCTATGATACAAATACAGCACGAGATTGACAGATTGTGATCAATTCCAAGTGCAACACTCATGTAAATAATCAGTCATATGATGTACTTTTCTAGTATCATATTTTCTTTTAGTTTTAATCTCTGATTTTTCTAAATTTGACACTTTTGATCCCTAGTAATGACATGGCTAACTAAGAAGTTGCCATGTGTCAATTTTTTCTTGTGCCACATCATCACTTAGTTCTAAAAATGTTGAATTAAAAAAAAAATGAGGGACAAAAACCAAAAGAATAATTTTTAAAGGACTACTATCAAATTGTCACAAAAATATAAGGACTAAAAATTATTTAAGACTCTAGATAATTATGTGACTACAAATAAAGCTGAAAAAATAGTTTTAGATTAGTTTTTCTGTTCAGCTATGGTTATAACAACAATCAATCAATCCTTATCCCGCTAAGTGAGATCAGTTACATGAATCATACAATGTCATTGAATTTTATCAAAAACCAAATTATCTGATGTATTATTTATCACTAGATCTCTTTTAATAATTTCTTCTGAAGTTCTTGGAGTCTTCCTCTATCCTTTTTCATCAAACTAAAAGTCATACCATCTACTCTCTCACGAGTTTCTCCGGTGGCCTTTGTATGTGTTCAAACCAACTTAATCAATTTTCTGTCCTCTTTTTTTACTATATATGCTACTTCAATATTCTGGTGTATATAATCATTTATTATCTTATCTTTTTCTCAGGTGACCATTCATCCATCTTAGCAATTTCATTTCGGCAGCTCCCACTTTTTTCAGCCATGGCTGTGAGAGAAAATGACAGCATGTACACAAGTTAGAAAATTTGACTGCCCCTTTGTTTGGAAAACAAAAACAACTCAAAATTGAAAAGTTAAAGGTAATAAATCAATAAGCAGAACATTGAGGCACGAGGTTTAAGGAACATAAGTCCTGGACAACAATTGACCCTAAATACAAACCTGAAAAATGTAAAAGCAAGGAAAATTTTGAAAACAGAAACATGATAAAGCAGTTCAATGAGCACATACATGTGAGCAACATCTGTTGCCCTTTTCTTCCCAAAGAGATAGCTCACCAAAGCATCCTCCAATCCTGAAAAAGCATGTTAAGGGAATTTGTGGAGATCATGCATAAGGGTTTTTGTCAGTGTCACAAAGACAACATTTTGAGGCTAACATAATGGAAATGGCCAAATGGGTACCTGGAAAGGAAGAATCTTTGGGGAAGGAAGAAGAAGATTGAAGGTTGTTGGCCACCGAAGAAACCCCATTTTGCTTGCAAGAGAGATTGAGTGTGGTGAGTCTTTGAGAAGGAACCAGCGACAAGAGTGTCCGCGAAGAACATGAGAGGGCATTACGAGTTGTAAAAGGAGAAAACCAAATTCTCAGAGACAACATCAGCGTTTAACACTCGCTGTAAAATGAATACAACAAACACTTTATTTTTTTAAATATGGCATTTTTACCATGAAAGTATCAGAATATGAATTCTTAATCATTAATACATATATATGGGATTTCAAAAAATCGTGGGTTATTTTTTAAATATGGCATTTTTACCATGAAATAAATATAAATTTTTAATCAATATTACATATATATGAGATTTAAAAAAATTACTACAGTGATTTTTAAAGGATGAAAAATTTTGTTCAAAGAAAAAAAAATGCCACTGACAACTTTTAGAAAAAAAAAATTATGTAGTTAAAAATTGCCGTTTGGAATTTTAGAGAAAAAATGTTTTTATACATTCAAAAAGTGTTATTGGCAACTTAAAAAAAATCACCATTAAATTTGTAGCGAATTATATTTTAAAAGTCTTTTATTCAACATTTTTAAATCTTCCTTTCTCATATTTTATAGTAAAAAAAATTTACAAATACAATAGTTTACTTTATCAATAAGATTGTTTCAAATACAAGTGAAGATATGAAATTTACGTTTGAGAAGCTAACTTATATATATATTTCTTACAATATATCATTTGAAAGCTTTATCAATATATTAAAGTGAAGACTCAAAAAACAGTTGAAAGTATAATTTACATGTGTCCAATTTCTATTTTTTGAGGTTTCATACAATACCAAGTAATAATAATAAGCAATGATGATGATATTCAACAAATATTTTAGATTTATTACAAGTGTCATAACTAAAACCCTTCAGTTAAGTTGTATTTTTTTTAAACAAATTACAATTGGTGCACATGCGAATGTCGTTCCTAACAAAGATGTCAAATAGGAACAAAACGATGCCAAAAGCGACAATGATGACTTTGAAAGAGATTATGAACGTGATGACGATAATTTGAATGATGATGCAAATGATGAGGACTCTCATTTATCAAACCGAGTGATTGGCCAACATATGTCTAGAGTTCCATAATTCATGCATGCTTTAGATCTTAATGCTATGCAAGTTCCTAAATTAACTAGTACCTCATGAAATCCCATTTTATCTAATGTCACTCTAACATTTCCAAGGTAATACAGAGTGTTAGTTGGATATTAAATGTGTCATTATCTAAGTACAAGTGAAAATATTATTTGTTCACTAGGTATTAGAGCAAACCACAGGAGCTGATGCCATGCTCATACCTAAGTACAAGTAGAAATATTATTAGTTTACTAGGTATTGGAGCAAACCACATGAGGTGGTGCCATGCCCATACATGCACCCGTATTAGGCATCAACAAATTTCTTTAGCATTTTTTTGGTATTAGAACATGTTTTAACAAAGAAAGTACGTATCCACGAGCATGTTTTGTTATCCTATGGTCAAAATTAGTAGGAAGCCAACCAAAATGTTGTGTGATCTACTTTAATCTTATTTATGAACCTTCAATATCGTTAGATTTAGGCCAACTACCTAGTAACTGTTCAAACATATCTTACAATGCTATAGTATTCGGATTAGTAGAACCACTAACAAATAGCCATTGATTTACAATCTAAGCAATATAGCAATATCTTCTAATGTTACTGTGTATTTTTCACAAGGAAGATATAATGTATGTGTTCCTAGTCTCCAACGTTTAACAAGTGTATTTACAAGCCCACCATTTATATGCATGCATTTGACATATTTGTGCAAAACGATAAAGTCCAACATTCTGTAAAATGTCATATATCTCAGGTTTATTACAAAATTATATTTTAAATAACATAAATCATAAAAATTACTTACATTTTGAGCTCGTACTAATTTCGAGATGTACTTCTGTGAATCCATAATGTATCACGAATCATATTGAAGAAATTTGTTAATCAATATATTCTTAAAATATTTAAACTAAATATTTTTATGAATTTTTCTATTTTTTTTACTCTTTTTTTCTTTTATTTTCACTCTTCTTCTTCTTAACAAGTTCCATCTTCTCTCTTCTACGTTCTCTCCGTACATGAGTTTATAGCTGAAAGGGTCATTATATAGCTCTAAAATCGCCAATGGCAAGTTTCACTTTCTAAAAAACTTCTTCTTCCCTCTATCTCAGGTGACAATGATAGAAATTTCTCCAAAAATTGTCATTACTTAATTTTTTATTATGCAAGATTCCTATTTAACATTCTCGCTTCATTGTTCATAGCAAATAGTAAGATCGAACATAACAAATATCTCAAAACTCACCATGGGTGGTTTTTCTGAAAACCACGTTCTCGTGAAAGCTTCAACTTTACTATTCATGGTAAATAGCATAATTAAATATTATAGACTTTCCAAAAATCGCCACCAGCAATTTTTCAAAACCCATACTTTCATAAAATTACTAAAAATGACATATTAATGTAATTATAACTTTTATATCCTAAATTTAAATTAATAAATCTAACTTTTGTTGTGAGTTAAGATAGGAATGAATCTAACATGAATAAAAGAGTATTCCTTTAGTTTTATTATAAAAATGTAAATATATTTTTATCTATATATTTTGATAATTTTTTTATTTTCATCTTTCAAAACATATTTTTTATATTTCTGTAAATTTTTATTTTTATGGTGTATTAAAAAGTTATTACATATAATTCTTTTATTGTTGAACCACATTATATAGTAACAGAGATTAAACATAAGAATTTGAAAAATTATAGATGCTGAAATAAAAATTATTTAGAGGAATTAGAAAAAAAGTTATTAAAATACAGGAATCAAAATATATTTAAACCAATGTAAACTTGCCATTTTTATTTACTTTCATTTTTTCAGAATTTGTCTAAAAACAATAATTGTCTCATTTTGATTTTACTATTTTTATATAATTTTTTAAATAAAATTAAATTTTATAGTTAAAAAATAAAAATAATTTCTTGAATGAAACTGGCTAAGTAACATTAAATTCAAAGTACACAACATAGGAGGGTATTATTAATATTTTTAATGCTTTTTTATCGATTAGTTAATAAATTAATAAATAATTTTTATAAAAATATATTAATAACATTAAAATTTATTGTTATAAAAAACATTTTAAATTATTTAATTAAAATATTTAATATTTTTTTTATTTTCATAGATATTTACAACGTGATTGATTTAGTTTAAAAGAGAAATGTTTTGAAACATTTTTTTTATCATAGCCAATTTTAACAAAGCATAGATGTCTAGAAAGAAAATATTTCTTAAACTGTTAGAAGGGATGGTTAAAAGTATTTTTTTAATTGAAATATATTTTTAAAATACATGTATGTAAAATAAAATAGAAAATATATAAGAGATAAAAATGTTATTATTTAATTATTTATGATGAATAGAGTTCCAAGACTCATTGTTCCCAATTTAACCACTCACTTAGTTTCCTAACATCCAAGAGTAACCATCTTACCGTTGTTGTATTTACTTTTACAGATACAATACATCATTCAATCTTTTTCTAATTAAGGAGAAATTTTTTCATCATCCTAACTAACACTAACATATTTTTGTGAGGAAGTAAATACATTACAAGATGTGAGTGACTAAAAATCTTTTTATTAATAAAGAACATTCACTACATTAAAATTATAAAAATGTGATAAATATTATTTAAAAAGATAAATATTATATTTCTTCAATGCTTAAACTCAACTTTGAAGAATTGTTGCTAACATTTTCTTTTAATTGAAATCGTACATAAGAAATAGAACAAGAAAAAACCTAAATCATGATTGAAACAATATGTTAAAGAGGAAGTCATGTATAACAAGACCCAATTTGGTGAGACATGACGAGGAGAAAGATGGGAGTGATCATGAGTAGAAGAATTCCAAATTCTTACTATCTTGTTGGAATTTAAAATTCTATAATTTTAGTTTAATATAAAGTTTTATTAAAATTCTTAAAATTTTAAATTTTTAAATTAAATATTCAAACAAAATATTTTAATGTATAAAATTTATAAATTCCTTGAAAAATTCTTCAGTTTAAATTTCCCATCTAGATGCACTCTATCGTATTATCGTCACAGTTCCAGCTTCACGTTGATTTTAACTGCCAAAAGCTGACTTTTTACGGTGAAATTTATACATTAAAATTTTAAGAAAATACATAAAATTCATAAAATGTACATGAAAATCCACGAGTTAATTGAAAAAAAAAAATCCAAAAGGCCTGTGATATATATTGTCAGTAATAAGTGTTGAAAAAAAAAAACTTTTGTCAACACATTTCATAATTGACTTTTGTTTCCTAAGAATTGTTATACAACTTTTTTTTTTCAATTTTAATATTTCCACACCCCAATTTTTATATTAATCTTAAGTTTTTTTTTTCTCAATTCATCACCAATTCTAATTTACAGATATTACTAACCATTCACTTGACGTTCCTTATTTGTATTTACCTTTATAATGTTAAATTAAACCATTTATTATATTTATCACTGTTTATCGGGTGTTATGTATACACCTTGAAAGGTGTAAGGAAAAACATTTTTTGTTTTTTTCTCAGATACGAAAGATGTAAATTAAATTTTTGGTAATTATAATAAAAAATAATCATAATTTTTCACACTTGAATTTATGGTACATCAACTTACCCTTCTTTCTATCTAACTTCTTTTAGAACTGCAGGGCTTGACTTGTTTTCTTTGCTGCGAACTTGTAGGATCTGTAGTTAACATCCTGTGAGTGTGAGTTGTTTTACTTGATGCTTTGACCACCTGTTAGAAGTACACCTATTCAACAATCGATCACAAATTTTATTTTCAATTCAAAGTATATTAATTTGGTTATTTGATTATGAGCATGCTTGACAAGAATTATATTGTTATTATTTTTTTTCAAAAATGATTTTGCTAGTTAATCTTTTCAATAAGTAGTTTAAAAGATAATTAAGTTTACCCTTTTAACACGAGTTAATGTCTAGAGTCTATATCATAATCGCAAAAGAAACCTTTTTTCTTCGAGATCATACTCTCCACTTGAAAATGAATCTATGGCAAATTTCCAAAGACATAAATTCAATTTTCAAAGTATATATTAATTTGTTTATTGGATTATTAGCAGGCATGACAAGAATTATTGTTATTACTTTTTTCCAAAAAGATTTCGTGCATTTTGCTACTTAATCTGTTGAACAAGTAGTGTGTTGAAGATAATTAAGTTTTTACCCTTAATTTTGACATATATCAATGCATAGAGTCTACACCATAATCGCAATTAGTGCCGTGAACGTTCCTTGTTCCTTGATAGTTTTCTGGATGAAACCACAAACTTGTTTAACTTTACTTTCATTAGAAACCAAACAGTACTATTAGAAACCAAGCACATCAGTACTAGCTCATCCACTGATATATAAAATCACATTTTTCATATAATCTGAAACCCACATTTTCAATCAGATGTACTCTCATCTTATGAACTTTAGCATAGTTAATATATTTGATTATGCATACGCGCATCATCACTCATTTTTTTTTCCTGCTTCGTTGGCGTGAACATTATTTAATAACTAATTATTCAATTTATACGTACTCATTTTCTTTTTATTACATGAGAAAAAAGCATAAAGAGAAAATCTTTATTATTGGAAAAGTAATTTAACATTTTTCTCACCCAAAACTTAGATATAATACATTAGTTTGGAGTCAAGGAATCAATAATTAATGAGAGGGACATAATTCGGAGACTACGCTTGGATGTTCTAAATTTTGCAAAGTAGCTAGTCGATCAGCTAGTGGTTTGCTTTTTCTACAAGAATTCGAACGAGCAATGTCAATCCTCTAGTCATTAACCAGTATAGTGTGGATGTTCTTGATACAGTTCTTGCTCGATCAAATTAAACCTAATACATAATGTGGCTTAATTCCCACTACCCAAGAGAGGCCAATGCATGATACGGTGGTAAGAAGTAAGAACTTAACTTTTATGTTTTTAGCAACACTTCATAGAAATCAGTGCTGTAAAAGTCTGATTTGCCATATTTCGAATAAACAAAAGGAGTTTGACATATTTCGAATCATCTCCTAAAATCAGTGAGCCTTCCTCTCTTTCCAAATTTGCCAGATACTTGCCAAAAACACAGCTTCATTACCATTAGAGAAAGCTTTCATCTAATCACAGGGACAGTTGCATATATACAGTCTCTAAGACAATGTATAATGTCCTCTCATTCATTGCATCTAACGCATAGATCAGTGGAGGCCATACCTAACTACATGCTATTGTTATTTACTCTATAATAAATTTAAGTTGCAGTTAATTATATTTTAAGTACTAATTAAATATTTTTCTTCAAAAACTAATTACAATTTCTTTAACCAATTTAGAGGTTAATTTACATTTCTTATTTTTATTTCTCTATTTAATTAAATTCATTTATTTTTACTTATGAAATGTGTGATATGGATTTTTTAAATTCATTTATTAAAGATAATTTTTATATACTAATCTACAAACACTTATATTCTTTATTTATATTATTTAAAAATTATATTAATACACCGTTTACAAATACCGTACCCTTGTTTATGCACCATAAACTGTATGTATAAGTTAACAGTTATACGTTATTGGGCTGTTTAGCCCCCTATAATAGCCAAAAACTGTTATATCGTTATTTCAAATTTATAAACTAGACATTTCCATTACATTCACTGTTAATATAATACATTCGGAGGCTTCGGCCCCTTCCCATTGAAAAGAAAGAAATTAAAATTATATGAGATGTTGCGACTATTATAATCATATTAAGAATGTACTAAACATATAAATGCCTAATACAAACTTTATCACAAGCAAATAACATAGTATATTTCAGAAATAACTAAAAATTATATATTGTTGTATACCACACTTTGAGCTGCTAATTATGCATAAAACTTATTATTTTTTTCCTTTTGCTTTCTTGGTATGCTAACACAGATTATATATATATATATATATATTCTAATTGTTGGTACAATCAGTGGGAGCAAAAGAAACCTTTTTCCCTTCAAGATCATACTCCACCTGAAAATCAATCTGTGCCAAATTTCCAAAGATAGAAATTCCAGTTGCAGGGCTAGGTGCTATTGCCAAGCAAAGTATGTTGTTGTCATCGAGCCAAAAAAGTGTGTTTTTAGGTCTCAGAGAAACAATTGCTCCCGTAAATTGAAACGCAATATCAGGGAAATACATTTCATCTTGATATGGAAAACAAAAGTTGAGTGGGAAAGGAAGATCTTGTACTACCTCAACACTAAGGACTTCTTGCAATGAAGTTACAAAATTGTTGTAAAAGCTTGGTTCAAGATATGTCATTACAGTCCCCGAGTCAATGATTATGTTGCCATCAGTTCGACCTGTTTGTATTGTTTTTTGTCCAATTGTGATGCCTTCAAGATTGAGGAAGTAAAAGGTAGGTAAAATAGGTTTAATTATGAGGGGAGTGGAGACAACCCCATCTCCATTTATTATTGCTCCGTTCCCAAATTTTAATTTACTAGTGGAATTTGAAGTGAATGGAACCAAACAATAAGAGAATTTGTGACCAATTTGATCACCTATTTGTGAAACTAGTGACAATGGCCCAGCTCCAAGACCCACTAGTCCAGTGAGCTTGCCGTCCTCATCAATTGTAGTGAAATTATTGTACATTCCACATCCGAAAATAGACTTAGGAAAAGCAATGGTATTGGCCCCACCCGAGGAATCAAAAGTAATGGACTCAGTACCCAATATTCCAGCGGTGAATGATTTGTCACCATATTGGTATGCATATATGCACTCACCTGAATCTGAACAAGCATGTTGACCTTCTGGGAGTATGGTACAAGGTTGTGAGTCACATGACAAACTACTGAATGTAGAAGACTTACTTGGCTCAAATAATGGGGTGTCTTGAGAAAAACATTTCTCACAAGGAGAACATTGTATCCAAATAAGATCACTTCCTGTATCAACAATGGCAAATTTTTCAACAGGTGGGGTACCAATGTAAAATTTCATCAAGTATTCACCATGATCTGGAATTAAAATGGATTCGGGTAATTTATTTTCATTTAGGAGAGCGATGCCAATTTGATTGGATCGAGAAACGGAACGCAAGGCAGCAATTTTTATACGCTCTGATAGGGTTAGTGAAGGGTTATAAAAAGGTGACAAAGGGGAATCACGATGAATAAGATCGACGCTGAAGCTTAGGCCTTTGTTAGCCTCCACGAAGGATATAACAGAAAATGGACTTAGAGCTACGAAAAATAACACAAAAGCATGCATGTTTAGGAAATGCATAAGGAAAGAAGTAAATGATACAATGCCGCACGTTGAAATGGCTTTACTTATAGATTTTAGGTTACTAATTAACTTTTAATTTTAATTATTTATTTACATTTGTTTATTCCAAATATATAATTCTTACAGCAGTAAAATATGAAATATTTTCATTAAATAATTCTTGTCAAATATATCTATAATGTGAGGTGACTAATCATGTGTGGACGAGTCATTTTTCCATGGCAGCTAGGGACATAACTTCAGCCAAACGGTGCCGAATGAAAAATAGTTTAATACTATGAGACATGGTTTTCGGTGTCAACATTGGGGCAAAGATGAAATGGTTAAATAACTTTGATTCATCAGAAATGGTTTTCTGTCTCAACATCGGGCCAAAGGATAAATAAGAAACGAAAAGAAAATAAGACAACACTTTTATATTTCCTAACCAAAAAATTATTGATTAATTAATGTGAAATAAAAAAACTAATTATGAGATTTATCTTTCAGTCTTAAAAATATGTTTTGTTGTTTCGCGTGATGTTATTTATATGTAAATATTTTTCATACGATTTTATAATTTCTTATGTTTATTTGTTAAGGTGGATGGAAATATTAGTATTCCTTAATATTGACACGTTGATTCCCAATTATTTAACAATATGATTAAACTATTTTAAAAATTTCACTCACCAAAATACTTTTTTTTTTGGTTAAAAATTTTTAGTTGAGCATATTAATTTTAATGTATATTCCACACTAGCTCCTCAGTATTAGCTATTTTTTTTATGTACTGCAAATCTGTAACAAGAAACCATTCAGGAATGATTCAACACCAAAGTCGTGTTATAAGCATAGGTTATAGTATAAGTAAACTTTAAGGTTCTCGGTATGGATTGATTAATAGATATCTTTCATTAAAAGTTATAGTAAGAAAATATTTATAATTGTGAATATTATATTTTTATTAGTAATTATTTTTAATTCTTTAATTAAGATATTAATTAGAATTATTTATTTATTTTTATGTAGCATTTTGATTTATTTAATGATTTAAACATGTGACTGATTTTATTTACTTTAAGAAGATAATTTTTTTTTACAAACTATAAAAATGTTGTAACTAAATATGAACTTAAGGCTTATGTTTGGATTGGTGAAACATATTAGAATGAAGGAGAATGATATGGGATGTTATCTTAATTTATTGTTTGGATTAATATTACAATAAAATAAAATTTATTCTATTATATTCTATTATGCTCCATTCAGTTCAATTCCATCACGTTTCATCTTCTCTTTAGGTCATGAAACATTGCATAGTGATTAACATGATGTTAAGGGTTGAGGAATCCGTTTTGTTTCTTTTAAATTTTTTATATTTTATTTTAAAAAACTTAAACTGAAATGAGAAAATTAATTCATATAAAAATTAGAATGAAATTAATATTTTCTTCGCATGGAAATTGAGCAGTACACGATAGGGATGGCAATGAGTAGGGTATAGGTAGGGTACTACAGTACCCATCCCCATATCCGCGTTTTAAAAAAATACCCGTACCCGGCCCCATACTCGCATGGGTATGAACATTAATCTTCGTACCCGTACCCTCTAGGTACCCGCATACCCGTCTTGTACCCATTACCCGCGCTTGTTTGAGAAAAATATATTTATATAATTTCACATAAGTAGCATAATAATACAAAAATTCAATATGTAGTTGTCGAACAAGGTACAAATATAGATAAAAAACAAATATTCAAAGATTATAAATGTTAAATGTATCTTAATATAATAATTTTCTAAACTAAAATTCTTAGAAACAATAAGTAAAACTAAACACACAAGTTATTTGTCAGTGATAATCCTATCTTGTGTGAGATTTGATTGATTGGTAATGTTAAAACGACAACGAAATAGATCTGTACAATGGTTGTCCCTTCGTGTGGGATCACTTAGTAACCTCTTGTGACGACATTAACAACTAAATCTAATGAATAACATTTTATAGTTATTAAGTTTTAGTGAGATAGACATTAAGAATGAGAATAGAGTTAGAGTAGAGAGGTTCAATACTAACAATAGAAAGTTGATACATAAAATATTTTTTTTAATTTTTGAATTTGAAATTGTAAGAAAAATAATAGATTTAATTAAAATAATACCATATAATATATATATATATATATATATATATATATTAATACTAGTATTTTTTAACTCATATATTATACGAAAGTATTTTATCAAAAATATAAATTTTTAAAAAATTATTTTAGTGAATTAAATATTTATAATGTATATAAATTTAAAAAAAAAGAATTTGAATAAAAGATAAATAGTTACAATAAAATTTTATAATAAAGAAATATACATGTATATTTAAAAAATTATACTTTTTTATCTTAAAAAAATTAACAAATAAAAATTAACAATAATTTTTTATATTTATATCTTTTCAAAAACTTCTTTGAATGTGAATAAATAGTAAGAATAATATTATTTAGATTCAATAGATTATAGTTGTACTTGTAATACATATGTTGCATAGAAAAATATTATTTTAAATTAAAATATTAAAAAAAATTAAAATATTATTAATAAATAATAAGTTTACAGTAATAGTAAGTGATTGTAAAATTTATAATATATTTATTATTTATCATTCACTTTATGATTTAAACATCAATATGATTTTATTAACAAAAATATTTTATGTGTGTCATATATAAATAATATTTTAAAAAAAAGTCAATCTCATATTAACTATGTAATAATTAAATTGTGTTAGCCTAATTAAATGATATAAAATAGTAAATAATTTTTTCTATTAAAAATATAAACCAAAATAAATTTTTTGGTTTACTTTATTATTAAATATATTTTTATATTAATCTTATATAACTTCACATAAGTAATATAATAATACAAAAATTCAATTCATAATTGTAAAATAAAGTTCAAGCATATATATATATATATATATATATATATATATATATATATATATGCGGGTATGGGGCGGGGTGGGTACTTAGATACCCATACCCGCACAGATACCCATACCTGCACCCATCCCCATTAAAATTTGCGAGTTTTTACCCACACTCATACCCGTACCCGTATAGCGGGTAAATACCCTACCCATTGTGGGTAAATTTTGCGGGTGCTCATCGGGTACTTTACCCATTGCCATCCCTAGTACACGATGTAGAAGAACAAAATTTAAGAGAATTTAGGTGCCAGTGTGCGTGCGGAAATAGAGGTGAAATTAATTAAAATAATTTTAAAAAATTAAGAGTTTGTTTGATTATATTTTTAAAAATTATTTTTTGAAAATATAATCAAACATTGCTAAGATGTTCAATATAAGCCTCAAGGGGAAGCGAATTCTCCAAGAAATATTGGTAAGAGCTCTATCCAACCTCTTACTCAAACCACTTCTTCTTCAAGTGAAGCAATTTCCTGTGTAGTCAACACCTATCAAATCGCATTACGAGATCATATCTTGGAATGCATTAAATTGTGTTAACTTTTATATCATATCTAATTCTATTAATGCATTAAATTGTGTTAACTTTTATATTTTTTTCATAAAAAATCATTATACGTTACTTCTTATGGTATGGAATATTTTACATGTTAGAAAATAATAATTTTAACAGCTGTTTCTCCAAATATTATAATATTTAATATTATTATATTAAATTTGTAACATTTTATTTTTTAAGAAAAACTATTATATATAACTTTTTATTGTTTGTTTTTAAACTCACGTTAAAAGAAAATCGATATATAAATTGAGAAATGCTTGAATTTATTCATTATTATTAACAAGTCTTACAAAAGTAACATATCAAACCTTTATTCTGCTATCGCTACACAGTGAAAACTTTATTAAGCAAACGAAAAGCATAAACTAATTATTGGTACAATCAGTAGGAACGAAAGAAACTTTCTTTTCCTTAAGATCATATTCCACTTGAAAATCAATTTGTGCCACATTTCCATAGATGGTAGGTCCCCCTTCAGTGGTGGGCACTATCGCCAAGCAAAGCAAGTTTCTGAGTTCAAGAAGAAGGTTTTTAGAGCCCAAGGTAATGCGAGCTTCCGTAAATTGAAACACAACATTAGGGAAAGTCATATTCATATTGGTCTCATATCTGAAACAAAAGTCGAATGGGAGTGGAGGATTTTGCTCTGCCTCAACACCAAAAGCTTCTTTGACCAAAGTTACAAATTTGTTGTAAAAGTTTGGTTCAAGCATTGTTAATGTTGACCCTGAATCAATTATTATGTTGCCAGCAGATTGGTCTGTTTGCACCTCTTTTTGTCCCACAACGATGCCTTCAAGATTGAGTATATAGAAGGTTGGAAAAGAAGGATTGGTTATATAGGGAGTGGACACAACCCCATTAATTGTTATCATTGCTTCTTTCCCAAATTTTAATTTGCTAGGGGAGTTTGAAGTAGGTGGAAGCAAGCAATAAGAAAATTTATGACCTATTTGATCACCTAGTTGTGAAACTAGTGACAATGGTCCTCCTCCAAGACCCACAATTCCCTCGATTTTGTTGCCCAAACCAAATGAAAAATTGTTGTAAATTCCACATCCAAAAATAGACTTAGGAAATGTAATTTCTTGGCCCTCATCCGTGGAACCAAAATTAATGACATCAATGCCCAATTTTCCTATGGTGAATATCTGGCCATTACTATATTGATATATGTACTCACACTCTCCTGAATCTCCACAACCGTATTGTTGACTCTTGAGAAGCAGTGAACAAGGTTGAGAGTCACATGACACATCCATTGATGTGGAAGACTTGTTGGGTTCAAATAATGGGGTGTCTTGAGGAAAACATTTCTCACAAGGGGAACATTGTACCCAAATAAGATCACTCCCAGTGTCAGCAATAGCAAGCCTCTCTATAGGAGGGGTACCAATATAAAATTTCATAAGGTATTGACCAACGTATGGAATTATGGTAGTTTCAATTGATTCTTTTGCATTCGCAAAGAGGTGAACATTATTGAATCGGGAAATGGAACGCATCGCAGCGTTTTCTATGAGCTCCGATGAGGACATTGAAGAATTGTACAGTGGTGACAATGATGAGTCACGGTGAATAAGATCGATATTAAAACTATTTAAACTTTTATTTGCTTCAGTGATGGCTATATTAATAGAAAGTGAAAATAATAGAGCTAAAAAATAGAATACAAAAGCCAACATATTTGGGGAAACACTGAAAGAAAGAAAATCTCCTTAATAGGATAGAGTGTACAAGAGAGAAATTAAAGATGCATGGAATGGTGAAAAAAGCATATCAAAGTGCTTCTATTTAAAGAATTTTGAGTTGCTAATGAAGGCTTATCTTTTTGTTGAATGTGTGGTGTGTAATTTGAGTAGTATTATCATACATGGACAAATACATTCGTGACTAAATTACATTCACGTATTTTCTTCTTGCCTCACAGTGTCAACGTCACACTCTAGGATGATATACACTTCAGTTGACACGTAGAAAGTATAAACTTTGTAATCTTTAGAAAGGGTATAAATTTATAATGAAGTAAATGATGGCCATGTACATCTATAACAGTAACAGTAGTATTGTTAAAACTATTGAACATGAATAACTTCCTTTGTATTTTATGAGCATACTTATACGAACCCATTATGAGAGAAAACATATCATTTATAATTTTTCTTACGAGTATGTTTGGATATATAACTAAATTAAATACTTATTTAATATTACTCTATGATAAATTTTGTTATTAATTTAATTATAAAATTTATTAAAATTAACTACCAATAACTTTTTTTTATAAGTTATATCAATAAAATTATTAAAAAATTCTTATAGAAGTCATATGCTAGCTATTTTCATAAAGAATTCGTAAATCTTTCAAATAAATCATAAATGAATACAAATATTAAAGTATATGATTTTGTTTAAAATTGTACTTTTTGTCTATTTATATTTCACATTATTTCATTTTTCTTAATCATATTACTTTTTCATACTTTTTTTTTAGTTTTTTTTATAACAGGTGTTGTAAAAAAGTACTGTTAAAATAGCATTACTTTTCTTCTTTTATTTTTAACGTGTAGAAAAGAGATTATATGTTGTTTCGTACATGATACAAACGTATGAAATCTTTCGCACTGTTTATCCAATCTTTTCTGTATATATAACAAACCAGCGGAAGAATCAATCTAGTAATTAATTGGTTGTTCGCTCAGTTTTATTTTTACTTTCAAAGTATATGAAAACCTAAAATACTTGTCCAATAAATTAATACAAAGTATATATGTTTTATTAAGATCAATCTTATATGTAAATAATAAAACCACAGTTCACAAGAGAAAATAAAATTGAATTTAGTGAAAAGTAAAAATGTAATGAATGAAATAGTAAAAGTGATTGAATTACAAGAGGAGTAATAGAACACATATATAACTAACTAATTTGTTTAACTAATATAACTAATTTTTTCATTTCTAATAACCTTATGTAAATACATTACCTAAACATGTATATAATTAATGAATTAGAAACTTCAAAATCAATAGGTAAAGTTTAACTACTCAAGTTCAAGCTATAATGTATGTTTAATCACTTGGCAAAGCTATAGTATAAAGACAATTGCAAATGCTTTAAGTTAGAAATTAGAATTATCAAGTCAATAGAGATAAAAGCCAAAAAAAAAAATTAAGAGGTTTGTTAACTTCAACTTTTAGAATTAAATTTAAGCATTCATAAATAAAATTTTCTATAAAAATATATATATAATTATTGTATTAAAATTATAAAAATATAATAAATATTTTTTTTTAATAAAATTTTATTATTATTAGTTGTTTATCATCGACTCTTAAACTCAAAAATTAATTATTAAGTAGAAGCTATGACTCAAGGATTAACCACTTAAGAAAAGCAACCATACATGCTTAACTACTTAAGAAAGGTATAAGCTAAAATAAAGGCATACAAGCTAAACCAATTTGAGAAATAAAAATGCACACTTGTGACAATAAATCAATTTCTTCTCATCAAGGAGTAAGAAACATCAACAATAGTAAAAGCATGGCCTTGTTAACATCATCAATGCAGATACACCAATCTCAGCTCTACTTGAAATGAGGAACGAACACAATGCTTCAGAATGAGCACTGAATGTACAACTGCAATGTCAACAATAATCTGTTTCAACCGAGTGTTATTCCATTTTGACACATTTTCTACATCAGCAGATTCCAAGTGTTCGATTCGCACACGACGTTTTTGTGCCTGAGAATGTCATCAAGGGACAAGATAAGGGAATCCATTTTCATGGGAACGATGGAGAAAATGAAATCTCAGGCTTGGAGTGGATTGGATCACATATGGAAAAAGTTCACTTGGAGAAAATATATAGAACCAAATCTATAATAAGGTTTTTATTATCTTGAACACGTATCTTTCAATGGAAATATGTCATTTCAAAATCAGAAACCACCAATTCATAGTCGCTTCGAAGCATCATTGTTAGATTTAGAAGAGATGACAATCAACAAATTTGGAACAAGAGAGAAAGAGATAACGAAAAGGAGAGTAAAAAAGAAAAACAGCAAACTGATTTTATTTTTATTTATTTGTAATGAAAAATGCAGCCAATAATTTATTGTAACTGTCATTACTCTAGCATGTGAAGAAAGGTTCAGAAGAGAAAATGAAGTTAGAGTTGAGTGAAAAGAAAAATTGTATTGAATAGAGAATAGTTAAAATGATTTAATAGCTGGAAGTAACAAGATTTATATGTCCAATTAATTTTTTAACTAATATAACTAATCTCTAATTAAGTTTGATCACCAACAAATACAATTACAAACAAAACACCCTTATAGTAAAACTAATTATTATATGATATAAATAGTTTCTTTTACATATGTTGTATAAAACTATCAGCTTGTTCATAATTTATGTTAACTATATAAATAATAATTATTTTGTCGATTTAGTTATTTTGTAAGAATTTAAAAGAAAGTAATGAAGATTTGCATTTTATTTTCTCCAAAAATAACTAATTAAAACTCAATTCAATATAATATGAAAATATGTGACTGAACTCGTCTAGCTTATGGTACATTACTTTGTGCATATAGTATTATCTAAATAAAAAACTTTTAAGTTGTGTTTGAACATGATATTTAAAAATTGTTACAAAATACTATGAAAGCCTTACTGGTATTTGAATAACAACGAAACGTATTTTTAAAATAATATAAAATTTTAACTAAATAATTTTTACATTAAATAGAAAAAATTTCAAATGACTAATTTTAGAAATAATTTTAAAATATTTTTATTATACTTAATTTTTTGTATTTATCATTCACAGTTCCTTTGATACTTGACTTCTACTCTTAAACATCTTTCATTAATGCTTTCATAATTTTAACAATTTTAAAATTTTTTATTATTAAACTTTTTTTATAATTATCATTTATAATTTTTCTTATACTTATTCACATTTAATCGTTCTTCATTATTAATGTCTTCAAGAATTCTAAAATTGTCTGTCCAAACACAATCCTACATATTTTCACATTCTATCAACTCCTATGAAGGACTACTTCTTAACTTCCACAACAATTTTATCTTGAACAATGTTATTTTCACTTATATATTTTTTGCAATAATTTTTACGACAAAAAAGATAAAAAAGAAAGAAAGTAAAACTATAAGTTAAAGTAAATAAGGAAAAGAAAAAAAAATAGAGAAAAATAAATTCTTTAAAAATATTGTGAAAAAGTAAAGTGAAAATAACATTTTCTTATAAGAAGTTTGAGAGAAAAAAAAAAAAAAAACAGATTGGAGACATAAAGAGGAAAATTTGTGGGACTAAAAAGGGAAAGCTAAAGAGCAATGGAAAAGAAATCTTGTATTTTTGTTTTCCTTTTTTATTTGTCCAACCTCGTAATCTTGTTTGAATGCATACAATTAATGGATGTTGAATAATTGAAGTTTCTATGAGAACATACAAAGAAATTACACAGTTGAAAACCATATCCAAACCCAAAAAAGAAAGCTTAGACAAGGCAGCACAATTTCCCATCTCTAACCAAAGTTAAGAAATAATTTCAGGCTTTCAGTGTTGGGTATGACAGCAACGAATGAAGATCACACCTTTCCTATGACTTAGATTTATTCATCAAAGTGGGATACAATACTTGCTTTGTTGCTTACAATCAAGTTAGGACAGTAGAATTATTTAAGATGAGATGTAACACGGATTCAAATTAAAAGCCATCGCTTCAAGAATTTTGAAAAACCGTACGTTATTAGAAGAAATAAGCATAAGAGGATGAGACCATGGTTGTCTTCTTGGCAGGCACTAAGATGATATGTGAAAATCTGTGCAAGAGATTCGAATAATACTGCTATGGTATCTATTTTCTTTTTCACTTGATAATTTTTTTATTTTCAATTTAAAAATATAAATTAAAAATAAAACAGATAATGGTGGATGTTGATATTTTGAGAAAAATAAATGTATTATGAGAAGATTAATGACACTTTTTTCTTTTCCTAAGATTCATGTTTTTAGTGGGGACTAGGGTTTTAATGGTGCATAAAGTTTTATAAGTATGAATTAGGTTGGATTGATATTTTTGAAGAATTGATACGCTAAATTTTGGGCTAATTCCTAAAACATTAGAGTATGAAAGGATTTTATTTTTTCCACAATTTCATAATCTCACTTTTTTAACTCTTTTCTATTTCTGTTTGTTTCTATAAGAATATTATTTTTCAATAATTATAAGATCAACATCCGTACAAAATTAAGTGTTTATAGTATATGTCAGACATGGATTAAGTAATGATTTTTTTTTTATAAATCTTTTGTAAAAAAGACTTTATATCAATTAATAATATATATATATATATATATATATATATAGTAGTTTTAGAGCATATTTATTTTCCTTCTTAAAAGAAGTTGTCTGCTTTTAAAATAAAATAAAATATAACTTAATTATCATATCAATTTATGATTGATTGAAAACACTTTTACGTGTTCATTCATTTTTTTATCTGTTAATTTACACTAAGTCTAAATTTATATTTTAATTTTTTTATAATTTACTTTTTATTCTTAAACATGTACCTCTTTAATTTAATTTTATGTAATATAATAAAATATTTATTATTAATAAATAAAATATTTACTTACAATTCATTAGATTAAAAAATATTTATAAAATATATTGAAAAATTATATTGTAATTGAATAATAACCATGTCAAGCTTTCAACATCCGAGGGTCTTGCATTATATAATTTAATAGGGTATCTAAAGCAAAGTAGATCATTTGGTGTAAACCTTATCTTTAGATGAAACTGACTTGTTAAAGCGTCCTTATGAATACACACCACATGATTACGACAATCGTGTGAAAAAAAGAATATTTACATGACTCAAAATGTGTTAAGCAGTTAGGCAAATTAAAAAATGAAAAGAATGCAATATGAAGAGCTATTCGTTCAATAATTCATTACTTTTACTGCGAAACTAATTACATGCATAACATAAAACCATTTTATTTTATCTTCTTTTTAGTACAAGCATAAGTGAAATCCTTATTCAGCAAACGCAAAGCTTGAGCTAATGTTTGGTACAATCAGTAGGAGCAAAGGAAACCTTTTCTTCTTTAAGATCGTATTCCACCTGAAAACCAACCTGTGCCCCATTTCCAAGGATTTGGAGGGGTTCAGACTCTTCAGAGCCTGGTGATACCCACATGCAAATGAGGTTGTCACCAAACACAGTGAATATGTTTCTCCAATTCAAGTGAACCTTAGCTCCAGTAAAATGAAACACAATATTAGGGAAATCAACGTTACTATCGTTATGTTTGAAACAAAAGTCGAATTCATCTGGAGGATTTTGCTCTGCCTCAACACCCAAGACTTCCTTTACCAAAGTTATAAACTTATTGTAAGACCTTTGTTCGAGAATTGTAAATCTGGTCCCTGAATCAATGACCATGTTGCCATCGGTTTGACTTTTACTTGTCTTCACCATCTTTTTTCCAACAGAGATGCCTTCAAGATTAAGGTAGTAAAGGGTAGGAATAGAAGATTTTATTATAAGTGGGGTGGACACGACACTTTTTCCTTTTATCATTGCTTCATTCCCGAATTTCAATTTGCTTGTGGAATTTGAAGCCAGAGGAAGCAAACAGTAGGAGAATTTGTGACCAATTTCATCACCTAATTGTGAAACCAAAGACAATGGCCCTGCTCCAAGACCCACTATGCCTGTGTTCTTGGTGAATGCCTTAACCCCAGTGTCATTATTGCCATATCCACACCCAAAAGTAAACTTAGGAAATGTAATAGTGTTGTTCCCACCCTCAATACCAAAATTAATGAAATCAAGACCCAAACTACCTACGGTGACTGTCTTGTCACCATATATATATGCATATATGCACTCACCTGATTTTCCACAAAAACGTAGGGACTTGGGAAGTAGTGTGCATGGTTGTGAGTCACATGAAACACTCTTAAATGTGGATGATTTTTTTGGATCAAACAATGGAGTGTCTTGGGGTACACATTGTTTACAAGGGGTGCATTGTACCCAAATTAGATCACTGCCTGTGTCTGCAATAGCAAACCTTTCCACAGGAGGGGTGCCAATGTAAAATATCACGAGGTATTCTTGAAGGTCTGGATCTGGAATTGTAATAGTTTTGGGTAATTTATTTTCATTCACAAGGGAGTTAATACGATTGGATCGAGCAATGGACCTTAGTGCAGCATTCTTGATGAGTTGTGATGTGGTCAATGAAGGGTCGTAAAAGGGTGACAAAGGTGAGTCACGATGAATAAGATCAATGCTGAAGCCCTTCAAATTTTTAGTGGCTTCAGCTAAAGATGCACTTGAAATTGAAGATAGGACCAAAATATAGAATATAAAAGCATGCATGATTGAGGAAACAGTGATAGAAAGAAATGACCAACCTAGGATAGGGCGTACGAGGGTGAGAGATGTAAGCAATTTCTTCAAGTCCTTCTATTTATAGAGTTTTCGACTTCATTTGTAAACGTGCGATGTTTATTTTGTAAATTATTATACGATAACTTTAATTAATCAATTTTTTTAATTTAAGATCTTAAAGTTAACACTATATTTGATAATACATAGAGAGAGAGTAGGGGAAAGTTACCTGTGTAGCTCTAAAAAGAATTATTCTATTCAATAACTTTTCATAAATATTAAATTTTATTAACCTAATTATTTAATAATGTGATATGTTTATGTTGATAATGCATATGAAAATTTAAATAAATTAAATATTCATAAATATACAATTTTATAATTAATATTTTAAAACATAGTTATAGAAATAAAAAAATTAATGATAAAAAATAATCGTTCAAAGAAATTAAAAAAATTCAAAAATGTAAGAATTAACAACATATTTAAAGCTTTAATATATTTAGTATATCTCGTCATGCTTACCTTACCATGTTGACGTCATATGGCTAGTACGACGATATAAATTTCAAAGCATAAAATGTAATGCAGCAGAAAGTATTAATTTAGTAAAGTGTCTATTGTATATGATAATAAAATCACTTTTAAAAAATCATGGACAGAGTTTTCTCCAATAATTGGCTCTCGTCTTTTCAAGAAAAATGGTTACCATTATTAGGGCTTTCACCTTAGCTTCTCAAGTAAACAATCCTGGAGCGATAAAGGGGTCTCCAAGGTGATTGCGAGTCAGATCTTGGCTTCCACTTCAGTAAACCTTAAAGGATAGAGCAGAATGAAGGGGAAAAAAGATCTAAAGAGAAGATGGACTTAATGAATCGAAGTATAAAGTACGTGAAAATAGCTTTTAGAGCTTCTCTAGAAACACTAGAGGGATGCATACAAGGAGAGCTTAGATTTATAAATCAGATGCCCATATCCTGACATAAGACATAAGAAGTCCAATGGGAGCAATATTTGAAATAACAATCCATAAAAAAATATCGATATTTATATCAGATAAAATAAAGTTATAATTAAAAGGAATTACTAAATAACTTATTATAATTGATATGATTAATATGAATGGTCCGATAGTGAATAAATTAATATCTCCTCTGGATAGAATAAGATTCTCCTTGAAAGTAGTTTTGTTTCGTCTACTAGAGTTTAAAAAACTCCAAAAGGACTAGCATATTCAAGTCTAATACGCTATTGTATTCCTGCATATATTTCTCTTTCTAACTATACAATTGCTAGTACACTTATTGTGATTCCTAATACAAGAATAAAAATATGTCAGATCATGTGTTCTCTATCTCTAAATTTTCTAAATCATATTCATATAAAGATAAAGTTTTAGGGCCAAAAGACTCATATTTAGTCTTGAATAATGACGAAATCATTAAATTGATATTAGAAGATTATAATATAATACTTGAACCCAAAGATAATAAAGATCTTCATAATAATGAGTAAAACATGTGTCCTAACCTCATGATCTCTTTAGAAGACTATGAGGGGTGATGTGTCACTTAGAGGTTCACTTTAGTAGTAAAACTCTTAAGTAAATTTGTCAATTTTAGTTACCTGAACCAGAAACTAAGTAGTATATGGAGAAAGAACAGTTCCCTGAAAGTCTTGGATTTAAATAAATTTTTTGAATTATATTTGAAAATATGGAAGACTACAAGTTGGCCTTGTTTAAAGGTCCATAGATGATTTTGGACCATTATCTTTCAGTTTAGAGGTGGAGACCTCTCTTTTGAACTAAGAATTATAACCTTAGAAAAATTGCAGTATGGGTGCATAGCCCTGACTTGCCTTTTGAATTGTATAACAAAAAATTTCTCTTGCAAATTGGGTCTTACATGGGATCTATGATAAAGGTGGACCCCTATTCATCCTTACTGTCTAGGAGAAAATTTGGTAGAATTTGCAATGAAATAGACCTTAGGAAGAGACCAATTCCTACTTTCAAAGTCGTAGGTCAGGAATTTAAAGTGAAGAAATGAGGGATTGCATTTAATTTGTTTTAATTGTGAAAAATATGGATACCATCAAGATTAATGTGGTGAGAATTTTATATCTAGTCAGGTGGATAGGCAACTAGAGCTAATATGCCTAATAGTTCCATAGGTAGGGAGGATATGTTAGATAATAACTCAAACCTGAGTAAGGATATGGCTATAGACTATACTAATAATGAGGGAAGACTAAAGGAGGATCAATTTAAGCCTTGGATGTTGGCTAAAAATAATTTAAGAAAAAATCTAGCTCACCTTTGAATGATGGGATATCCTCTAAAAATGGAAAAACAAAAGAAATATCTTCAAGGTTTATATTTGATATTTTAGGTAACTCCAATTAGGATCAGAAATTGGAAGTAGAACTGAGTAGCTTTAAACCCTCAGGTGCTTCCTAAAATAAGGAATCAAGTCTTAATGAACATTTACCTAATAAGCAGTCTAGTAAGCCTTATATTAATAATAAGTCTAATGATCATTTTAGAAAAGGAACCAAGTGTAGGGTTAAGCCTAAAATGGTTATTTGGGTAAAGGCAAAGGTGTGTATCCTCAACTTGATAAGGCTTGCATTGTTAGTGATGAGTAGGAAGACTAAAAGAGGGATCTTAGTCACGAGAATATTCTTCCTATGAATACTTTTAAGCAAATCCTCCAAAAAAAAAAAAAAATTATGGTTACACTATTTAGGATCTCGTAGGCTTAAATTTTAGTTTTATTAAAAGGAGCAGGAAACTCCCATTCCTGACCCTACTGATAGGCCCCTAGATGTATCATCCAAAATGGATCTTGATAAAGTTAATAATAAGGAAAATACTATTTCTTATAATAGTTATGTTGTAGAGAATGATTTAAATATACTTCAGCATCCTAAGGATGCTTCCAAATTTCTTCCTGAATTCATGACTGTTTGTGTTGAAATTGTAGGAGTGTAAGGGGTAAGACATTCTCTAGGCTCATAAATGACCTAATTAAAACTTATAGTCTAGATTTTATTGCTATATTTGAATCTAGAATCAATCTCAGTAAAGCTAATTTGGTTATTAAAAAATTCAATCTGGATGGTTTACTTAAAGTTTATGCTTTAGGTTTCTTTGGGAGTATTTGGTGCTATTGGAATAATAGGAAAGTTAAGGTTGTTGTCTTAAATAAAAACAAGCATTTTATTCACCTAAAAGTTAGATTAGGTGATGTCTTCTGTTTATGTTATCCCTTAAGAAGGTTTCATAGCTCAGTGTTAGGAGTCCCTCATTAATTTTAGTCAATCAATTAACTGCTCCTAGTATTTTGCTTGAGAATTTAATTTTTTTTTCTCTTTGAAAAAGAGAAATATAGTGGTAGTCCTGTTAACTTAAGCCTTCTAAATCAATTTGTTGATTTCCTTAATTCTTGTTGGCTCTAGGATTTAGATTTCAAAGGAGACCCCTTCACTTGGCACAGACATAAACTTAAGGGGAGAATTGATAGAGTTATGATCAATGAATCTTAGAGGATGTTGTTTCAAAATAGTTCAATAATTCATCTCCCCATTTTAAAATCTGATCATGTTACTCTTTGGATGGAAATTAGAAGCAAGGATAGTAATAGGCCTTATCACAAACCTTTTAAGTTCTTAATTCCTTGGTTGGCTCATAATGACTTTAATAACCAGATTAAAAACTCTTGGATCATTTCAAATTTCTGGACTGATAATGTTAATAGCTTTAGGAATAATATTTCTTATTGGAGTTTGAATATTTTTGGTAATATCTGTAAAAGAATAATATTAAACAGAATCAAAGGTGTTTTTACTAGATTAGCTACTCAAAATAATTCTTATCTTGATAACCTTATGAAATCATTGTGGGTAGAGTATTAGAGTATCTTGGATTCTGAAAGTTTTTTTGGTTCCATAAATATAAATCTAGTTGGATTAAGTTAGGGGATAGGAAGAATAAGTTTTTTCTTAAGATAATAGTGATTTGTAGACAAAATAATCATAGTGAGGTCCTTGGGGATGATAACGGTGATTGAGAATTTTGATCCCCAGAATCCAAGATAGACTAGTTTGATATTTTAGCAATTTATATTATGATCCTTGCCTTGATAGTAGTCCTTTCCTTACTATTTCTAGGTTTCCTCTCCTTAGGAAAGCAAATATTGATTTGATTAACTCTTATCCTAAAATAGAAGAGGTAAAAACTTCTTTATTCAATATAGGCAACTTTAAATCTCTAGGCCTTGATGGGCTCCATGTTGTTTTCTTAAAAAATCAATGAGAATTTGTAGCGCCTTTTATTTGAAGCTTCTCTTTGAGATTTTTAATGATCCTTCAACCATTTCTAATGTTAATGACACCGTTATTTTCTTAATTCCTAAAGTTGATACCCCAAGCATATTAAGCAGTTTAGGCCTATTTCTTTGTACAATGTTAGTTATAAAATTATTACCAAAATGCTTGCTAATAGAATTAAGGGGAGCCTTCCTGTTATTATCTTTGTCAACCACACTAGTTACATATCTGAGATGCAGGATATTAATAATACTCTTATCCTACAAGAGCTTATTCACTCATTTAATAAATTAAACCATAGGAGTAATTTCATGATTATTATAATTGATCTAGAAAAGACTTATGATAGACTTATGTGAAGTTTTATTGATGAAACTTTATAGGTTATTGGCCTCAATCCTATATTTTGAGCCCTTACAAGCCACTATATCTCTTCTTCCATATTTATTAATTGAAACAATAATAGAATTGAAGCTAACTCATTTCTCCTTATATATTTGTCATGTGCATTGAGAGGCTAACTCATTTAATTTAGGATAGGGTTGATGATGGTAGTTGGGTTCCTTTTTCTTTCAGAAGCAAAGATCCTAATATATTTCATCTTCTTTTTGTTGATGATATCATTTTAGTTACTAAAGCTGATAAGTATAATGCTGAAACTATCTCTGAGGTCTTGAATAAATTTTGCTTTGTCTTAAGTCTTTTTTATTAATAAATTTAAGTCTTCTGTATATTTCTCTAAATATTGTAATTCTACTCTCATTCAAGACCTGAGTAGGTGCTTAGGATTTAGGAATTTTTCTCAGTGTGGTAAGTATCTTGGCATCCCTGTTAGTCATCTTAATCCTACTAGACAGGGCTTTAAGTTTATTATAGATAAAATAAGAAGAAAGCTCTCTATTTAGAAATGAATCTCTTATCCATGTAAGGAAGAATCATCCTTACCTAGGCCTATATCATGAGTATTTCTAATTATTTTATGCAAATTAGTTTTATCCCTAGGTTTGTTTGTAATAAAATTAATAAGATTTGTAAGCACTTCATTCTCTGAATGGGAAAAAATATCACCTAATTAGTTGGAAGACTATTTGTAAACCTAAAAGTGAGGGGGATTAGGGTTTAAAGACATTCATTTAGTCAATAAAGCCTTCATAATGAAACTTTGTTGGAGGCTCATTACCTTTTCCAATGATTTATGGTCTCAGGTTATCTATGATAAATATAGCTTTATTTTAGGTAAATCTCTTAAAATTACTAATAGTAAAAAATTCTCTCCTTTATGGAAGGATATGGTTGTTAGTTGAGACTATTTTTATCAAGGGCTTGGCTTGGATTCTTGGGAATGTGATGACTGCTAGATTCTGGTAGGATAATTGGATTCATAAGATTCCAAATCTTTCTAGTTTTGCTCTTTATCTCATTAGTGGTGATAATTTAAATGACCTTGTGGCCTTTTTTTTTTTTCCCATCAAGGCAATTGAGATTAGTTGAAAATTAGACAAGTTCTTTCCAACTCTATTTGTGATTTGATCTCTCAAACCAATTTGCCTATGCTCTTTAATAATCAGGATAAGTTTTTCTAGAAGCTTACTAGTAATAGTTTTTTTTTTCAATTAGGTTTGCTTATAATATGATTTTTGAGTGCAATCTGAATATGGATAGTAATAATCAAACTTTTAAATTAGTTTGGAACTGGAATAGGCCTCCTAAAGTTAATGTTTTCCTATAGAAAGTTACTTATGAAAAACTTCTAACTGAGGAGAGATTTAATCGTAAAATGACTAGCTCTTCTCTTTGTACTAGATGCAATAAGGCTCTTGAATCTGTGATGCATGTCCTTAGGGACTCTTGGTATGCTAATCAAATTTGGAATAAGCTTCCTCCCCCTGATAAATGATCCTCTTTCTTTACTCTTTGCTTATCTAACTGGATTTTGTTTAATTTATACTATAATTTTCCTATGCATCCTTTTTGGCCCTCTCTATTTGGTTTTGTCACCTGCAATCTGTGAAAAAAATAGAAACTATGCTATATTTCATAACTCCCTTTTGAATTTTGAATCCCTATTAAATAAAATTGTTTATGAGTTTGATAGATGAGTTGAATAGTTGGTTGTTTGGAGCCTCAGGGTCTTGTTAGATGGCAATCGCCCCTAGAAAAGAAAGTTAAGCTCAATATTGATAGTTTTGTCATACATACTTTAGGTGCTGCTAGTTGTGGATGTTTTATCCGTGATTAGAATGGAGCATTAATAACTTGTTTCTATAATTCCCAATCTCTATTCCTCACTTGCTACTGAATTGTGGGCTATTATTTGGAGTCTCTAGTCATATGTAGGAATAACTAAGTCATTTGGATTAAGTATGACTGCTAGAAAGCTATTTCGTTAATCATCAATATTCAAAGTAGCAATCATCTGTTGTTTATTGTTATCTAGAATATTAGGCTCCTTCTTAGGAATATTAAATTTGTTAGATTTAGTCACATTTTAAGAGAAGCAAACTATTATGCCGATTGGATGGTTAGGTTAGGGGTTAAAGCTGAGCAACTTTTTTATTGTTTTGATAAAGTTTTCCCTTCTATAGAGCCTCTATTAAGGCTAGATTCTCTTAAAGTCTCTTGCACTACATTTTATATCTAGTTTGTTTTTTGTGTTTGGATTTTGTTAGCCCTATTAAATAGCAAAAATAATAAAATAAAATGTCTATTATCTGATACTTAAATGGACAACTATTGTAGGAACGAACAAAATAATTGTGACAGTAATCATACATGCTTTGGTTATTTATCATTGAACATAAAATAGCAACTTTGTTAACACGAGTGTTTAGTTTAGCATAAATGGGATGAAGTTTTTTAACCTTTTTATTTTTAAATTTTGAAAGAGCATATTTTTTATTCATAACTCTAATTTATGTATATTATATGTTTATTTCTTATATTTGTTGAGATGCATTAATTTAGTCGTCACACTTTTTCAACTGCTAAAACAAACACTTTTAATAGTAAAATGTATTACCAAATAAATGTTTGGTGTATTTAACTTTTTCTACAAAAGCCTTAGAATTTATGCCAAAATTTAATTTCCTGATTTTCATTTTATAGTTATTTACGTGAAGTTTTACTATCTATTTCTTCATAAAATCAGCATTTTATTTACTCATGAACAGCACATATACTTGCACACATTCATGAAATATGATCAAATATAAAAGATCAAATTCTATGCATAATATTTTAGTTTAAATAATGTTTTAATCGTATAAAAATTCATAATTTTTTATTTTCTTAAACAAGTTTGCTAAAAATTTATTTTCTTCTCATGTAATGTTTCTATTAGTAACTATTTTTAAATTTTTTTTTTCCTACGTGACAT